GGACTTTTATGACTTTGCTTCTAAATTCTACGAACCACCTAGTAACAGTTTCTCTGACTTTCAAGTTTGGTTCACAACAAATGGTGTGCAGCATATAATACCATTGTACTATGACTTTTATCTCGAATTGTCTTTCATATACAACTACGGAAAAGTGCTGAAAAAGTATTGAAAAATAAAGTTTAGGCGCTACCAGGTCCCTCGGTCCCTCGGTCCCTCGGTTAAACGAACTTCTCTTAAAATTACTGACAACATGACATTTAGACAACAGTCCAGGAAATAAACTTCTTCGTAAATGTTTTGTCAAGACTTCTTCGTACATGTTTTGTCAAACATGAACATACATGTTTTGTCATGACTTCTTCGTAAATGTTTTGTCAAACATGAACGTATATGTTTTGTCATGACTTCATCGTAAATGTTTTGAAGAACTGAAGGTGCTACCATGTTACCATGTGCTACCAGGTAATTTTAACTTCTCTTAAAATTACTGACAACATGACATTTTGACAACAACACAGGAAATAAACTTCTTCGTAAATGTTTTTGTCATGACTTCATCGTAAATGTTTTGAAGAACTGAAGGTGCTACCAGGTCACTCGGTCACTCGGTCACTCGGTTAAACGAACTTCTCTGAAAAAATGAGACAACATGACATTTTGACAACAGTCCAGGAAATAAACTTCTTCGTAAATGTTTTGTCATGACTTCATCGTACATGTTTTGTCACCTGTTGAATTTTGTATAAAAACCAACCGCCGGAATTCCGGCGGTTGCTATATTCTTCACAAAATGCTTGTTTTGTCATGACTTCATCGTAAATGTTTTGTCATGACTTCTTCGTAAATGTTTTGTCATGACTTCATCGTACATGTTTTGTCATGACTTCTTCGTATATGTTTTGTCACCCGTTGAATTTTGTATAAAAAGCAACCGCCGGAATTCCGGCGGTTGGTATATTCTTCACAAAATGCTTGTTTTGAGGTCGAGCCACTTTTGGCTCCACCGTATTTTTCAACCAAAACTCATGAATTTTCCCGAAATAAAATATAAAGTTAGTTTTTTTAAAAAAAATATTTTTTTATTTTTATTGTAAGAACATGTTAGCAACAACAGCACCAAACTCGTTAGTCATGAATCCAACATCTATGTTAGTAGAGATGAAAAGCTTCATTCCTTCTTCATATACTTTCGAAACAGAAATCCAGAAGATAAAGCAGGAACTTCTCCAAGGAGATTTAGATTGCACTGCAAAAGATGAAACAAATGAACAGTATCTTTATGAAATGGAGGACCTGGTGGAACATCTACCTAAACTTCCTGAAATCCAACAACAAAAGCTCACTATTCCTGAATTCGATGAAATAGAAGTGAAACCAACTGACTCGGTAGAAATAAAGAAGTTCATACGTTTGGTTAACTATGAGTTTCTTGGATTTCATTGCAACCACAAAGTCATTGACATATATAAATCGGAGGAGTTTAAGACCTACGACAACTTTGTTTCGTTAGTTGCAAAATGTGTATGGCAGATAAGAGATAAAGATAAAAGAGGTAAAGTATGGAACGAACAAATAAAACCCGCAACTTTTGAGTTAAAGAAAACCATTTACGCCTTAGTTGTTTTAGCAGGTAAGGTTTCAATGTACAATGCTAAAATGAACCCACAATGTTCAAAATGTAAAGCAGCAATGAGGAAATATAACTACTCCGTCAAAGAGATAGAACGTATGAGAAACGACTATGCTGACTTAAAGAAAGAAGCAGAGAAACCAGCAGAAGATAAAATGGACATGTTGACATTTCTGAACAAAATCTATCCAACTGCTGACGATTTCCTTCTATCTGACGTCAAGAAGAAATATAAAGAAACATTCGGCATTGTTAAAACATTCGATGTACTAAAAGAAGAAATAGAAGCTACAAAACTGTTTAAAGTCATGAACCATCACAACATATACCATGTAAAACGCTTATAAAACTTTATGGTAGAAATATATTTTTGCTGAGTAAAATGACCAAATTTCATTATATAACTGTTATATTTTTACGAAGAGAATTTTTGCACTTCGTAAAAAAAATCCCTGAAGTCTTGACAAAACATATACGAAGAAGTCTTGACAAAGCATATACGATGAAATCATGACAAAACATTTACGATGAAGTTTATTTCCTGGACTGTTGTCAAAATGTCATGTTGTCACCATTTTCAAAAAGATGTTAGTTGACCGAGGGACCGAGGGACCGAGGGACCTGGTGACCCTCATGAAAATTCAAGAGGTGAAAAAACATATACGATGAAGTCATGACAAAACATATACGAAGAAGTTTATTTCCTGTGTTGTTGTCAAAATGTCATGTTGTCACCATTTTCAAAAAGATGTTAGTTGACCGAGGGACCGAGGGACCGAGGGACCTGGTTCCACCTAAAATATATTTTTGTCTGATTTACGCTCATTGACGATGAAATCATGACAAAACATATACGATGAAGTTTATTTCCTGTGTTGTTGTCAAAATGTCATGTTGTCACCATTTTCAAAAAGATGTTAGTTGACCGAGTGACCGAGTGACCGAGGACCTGTTCCACCTAAAATATATTTTTGCTGAAAAAAATGACCCAAAAATCATGAATTCCTCATATGTTTGCGTTCCTCGAAAAAAACGAGGAACGAGATTCCGTACGAAAACAGTGAAATTTCTCTAGACCGAGAATTCTCGGCCTTGCATAAAATCCCTGAAATCGTGAAAAATGACCAAATTTCATTATATAACTGTTATATTTTTACGAAGAGAAACTTTTGCACTTCGTAAAAAAAATCCCTGAAATCGTGAAAAAAATGACCAAATTTCATGAATTTCCTCATATGTTTGCGACCCGAGGAAAACCGAGGGTCGAGATTCCGTATGAAAATCGTGAAAAAATGACCAAATTTCATGAATTTCCTCATATTTGCTACCGCGGAAAACCGAGGGTAGAGATTCCGTACGAAAATCGTAAAAAAATGACCAAATTTCATTATATAACTGTTATATTTTACGAAGAGAACTTTTTGCACTTCGTAAAAAAAATCCCTGAAATCATATCTTTTATACAAGATAGAAAATCTTACTCGCCTAAAACTCATGAAAATCGTAAAAAATTGCGAGTAGGGAAAAAACCGTAGTCGCCTAAAACTCATGAAAATCGTGAAAAATTGCGACCCCGACTTTTTCCGGGGTCGCCTAAAACTCATGAAAACAGTAAAAAAATGACCAAATTTCATTATATAACTGTTATATTTTTACGAAGAGAACTTTGACACTTCGTCAAAAAAATCCCTGAAATCATATCTTTTATACAAATAAAAAAATAACGTTAGTTTTTTTAAAAAATATTTTTTATCTTGTATGTAAGAAACAGAAAATGACAAACACTGAGTTTGAAACAGTTAGAAAGATAGACAATAACACCAAAGTGGTTAGAGTAGGTGATTTAAACGTAAGATACTCAAAGAAATACAAGAAATATTCTTTGTCAGACATTTTATCTCCATTTGGAAAGAAAGCAAAGGACTGGGTTAAAAATGCTTCTACTCAGAATATTTTGACAAGAAATCCTGAGCTGATGATATCGGTAAGATTCTATGGAACTGCAGCATATTCTCATCGACAAAAGTCTTATACCAATAGTTTTGTTATGGTTAGACCCAGTTGTTGGATATAACTTCATAACATATGGTTCATTCGATACGGAACGTTGCAGTGAAGGCTTACTTTACATCGTTCAGAAACCAAAGGACTTCAATACAAAGAGATATAAGATAGGAAGAACATATAATATAACTCAAAGATATGACAGTATAGTCAATAGAGTTAAGGTTGTGTTCGTTAACGATATGAGAGCTGCTGAAACAGAACTGCTTGAAGTTTTTGAGAAAATGTATGGTGCTCCCACGAAAGGTAAGAGAAACGTTTGAAGTAGATGAGATAGATAAAGCTATAAAATTATTTGACGAAGTTGCTGAAAAATACATGTAAAGCGTTTATTTTTGGTCTTTTGTGAAAATAAAAAAATAACGCTAATTTTTTATAAAATATTTTTTTTATTTTGTATGTAAAGACAGATATGACAACAACCGAGAAACCAACAACTGCTATCGTCATGAAGCCATAAGTGAAGAATACGAGTACATACAATATAACAAACAGTTACGTCTCATTCGTTCGGTCAAAGACGATATGTACCAAATGCAAAGTATTTTGACAGCATGTTTTGCTCCAGATACCAAGCTTCCTAAAGACTGGTTTAGGAACCAAAGCACTATTGAACTATTAAATGAAGCACAGCGAGACAGACTTTTTTCGGGTCGCCTAAAACTCATGAAAACAGTGAAGAACAGCGAGGGGAGAAAAACCCCAGTCGCCAAAACTCTATGAAAATCGTGAAAAATTGCCAAATGGTTTGAGAGGCTGGTATGTACATAGACTTCTTGTAAATGCGTTGCAATGTGCCATGTGGCTTCGCCTCGTTATGCTTGGTATATTTACAGACTTCTTGACGAAATTCATAGACAAGAACGTGAAGAGCTAGAGAACAAGCTTGAAGCAAAGACAAAAACATTCAGAAAAGAATACCACGTTCGGTACCAAAAGGAAAGGAAAAGAACTATAAGTATATGATTATACGAAGAGATGGAAAATGAAGAAGACAGAGATATGGTTATGTTGCATTTAGTCCAGAAGAAAACAACAAAAGCTTTTACGACCTTGCTAAAGATTTTACAAATCTAACAGAAATTGGTTCTATCGCGAAAAACTTACCGATTTCAATGACCAAATGAAGATGTGAAACAAAATAGTTCAAGATACTTTACCTCAAACACACTATGATATGAAAGGTGTACAATACTTACATTCAAAGAAGATTTGCCGCTACTGAAAGAAAAAATAACAGAGTATTTTGACAACTTCAAAGAGGAAGAGTAAATGAACCATTTATTTTTACGCTTGACTTCAGATGGCTCAGGTAGCTCTAGATGGTAAATTGTCTTGTCAAATCCTTCTGACATTCCGAGTTCTTCCTTCCGACAGGAAAAAATTTTCCTTCCGACAGGAAGAACTCTTCCTTCCAACAGGAAAAAATTTTCCTTCCAACAGGAAAAAATTTTCCTTCCAACAGGAAAAATTTTTCCAGTTGTCCGTCCGTAAACCATTCAAATTTTCGAAAATTGAGAACTTTTTGGTCGAACTTCAGGAAAAATTTTTCCTTCCGACAGGAAAAAATTTTCCTTCCAACAGGAAAAAATTTTCCTTCCGACAGGAAGAACTCTTCCTTCCAACAGGAAAAAATTTTCCTTCCGACAGGAAGAACTCTTCCTTCCGACAGGACACAAACGAATGTCCGACGTACCACCAACCGAGTCCATTCCAAAGCCAGAAGAACCGACAGCCCCAGCACCACAACAGACTAAGACTAAACACTTACATTTTTTACGCTTGACTTTTTACAATTTGAACTTTGTTTGCGTAGATATGAATTCTGAAAGAAGTATGAGGGTCTTGTATGACTTTGTACTTCTCCCATAGTTCATGTCTGTCAAACTTACCTGCCATGGACTCTTTCATAAGTTCCATGAAATCGTCTTCGGACAATCGGGGAAAAGTACAATGTCAGTAAGTATTCTCTTTACATCCTTACTTAAACTCTTTGCTGTCTGTACACAAATGACAACAGAGATGTTGAAGTGTCTGAGCTTCTTAAGAATTCGACACATATCTTGTTCTCTGTTCTTTAACAAAGGATGAGAAGCAAAGTCATCTAAGATAAGAAGACATCTATGAGGGTAAGTCTTCCAATCGTAAGATTGCAATTTCTTCGAAATGTATTCTATCTCTTTCTGTTTGTTTCTGAAGTGTTCTTCTCTAATATTCTCTGCATTTCCTCATTTGGGTCTTTAAACTTAGAATTTATATACTCATTTATAGCATTATACTTCAAAACTCTTCTTTTGGTACTTCTTTATCCAATCTAACAACTCAGAGTCTTTTATACATACTAACTTAGACTTCTTTATAATATCTTTGAACGAATTTACGGTTTGGTCAAATTGACCAGAAGTACTACAAATGACAACTAACTCATAGAATGGGTTCTTCTCATCTAGTTCTTGTTGTTGTGCAGCCATTTTAAGATAAGTGAAAGTCTTACCCGACCCAGGTGGTGCAATTAGACCTGTTATACCATTCTGAGCAAATAAGAACTTGTCATGTATGGGTTTTATCTGAGCATTTTCCAACTTCCTCTTGTTCTTGTTTAAAACATCTCAAATTTCTTGTCAATGTCAGCAAACTTTTTTTCTAACATATTTTTAGAAAATTAAAATTTTTATCTTTTTGAAAATGTCTAGCGATTTCGCCATCTATTTCGAGACAAGCTTTTCGACAGCAAAACATCTGTCGACCATAAAATCTTACATAGTGTAAACAAGAAAGGTGAATTTGTTCTAAAGTTCTGTTTCTGGGAATATGACAAAAACCATAAAACATTAAGCAGAGAAGTCTTAAAATTTGTCAATGACAGACTTGTTGACAGAGATGACGCCTCTTGGAGAGATGAAGTCCAACAAAACTTCTTAGAATGCAAAGAAGACACATGCGCTGTTCTTGAAGATGAAATAGAAAACAGAATAGAAGAGCTATTAAAGGACAAAGAACTTTTACAAAAATATGGTTCGGAGAAATTTGACATAACTCCACCAGAAAAGAAGAAGAGAGAAAAGAAAGTAGAAGAAGAGAAGAAAGAACCAGTTCCAGAGAAGAAGAAATTTGACATGTAAAAATAAAATTTTATTTTTAGAACATTTCTGGGTCAATGTCAATGTTCTCTTCCTCTTTAGGAGCAAACACTGGCTTAGACTCTAAAATCTTTTTACCCAATTTACCTTGAACTTCAACTATCTTAGACTCATAAATTCATAGTCGTCTGCTTTCTTTGGTTCATAAGGTATACAAGTTTGTATGCTTTGCCTTCTTTAAGGTTGAAAAACCTTCTGTCAAAAACTTTCTTTGACTGTTAACAAACCTTCTATGTCTAAGTCTTCAAATTTCGCACCATTTTTAGTCACAACAGCAAACTTAACTGGTTCGATGTTCCAAACTTTGTCAAATGTAGACTTTTCAAAATGGTAGAAGTAAACATTCAAATATGTGAATGGGTCTAGTTCTTCTTTTAGTCCTGACATGTACTTGTTTACTGAGATGAATTTCGTCATCTTTTCTATCGGATAAAAAAAATTTTTTTTTAAATTTACTCAGAAAAATTTTTCTTTGTATATACACCATTCTGTACGTCTAAAAGACTTTTGACATTTGCCAAGAATGTTCGTTTAGACGCTGTCATATAACCATATTCTTGACAATATTGTTTATACGAATCGTACAATGACCTTTCATCTAAACACTCAAAGTCAGTTTCATCTATGAACAGTTCATATACACTCTTGTTTGCTTCTAACAATGTTTGTCTCTCTTCGGTATGTGGAATTTGTCTTGGATTGAACTTTGAAATATCTAATGTCATGAAATATGAGAACAAGTGGTTTGTAAAAAGTCAGATGTCAAAGTTTCTGACAAAGCGTCAAAATATTCTGTATCTTGCATATGAGAATCTGACGTTCTGACAACTACATATCTTCTGTCAGAACTTTCTAACTTCATCGGAACAGCATTGTTTGAAACCATAATGAAGTTTGCCAACATTTTCACAAACTCTTGGTCTTTATATTTTCTTTCAACAACTCCAACTTTGTCTGTTATAAGACTCTTCAAAGCATCTGAGTTCAAAACTTTTGTTGTATCTATACTTTGAAGTTCGTTACATACTATAAGTTTCATATTCTCTATTGAAGAGTTAAATTTACCGCAGATGTTTCTAAGTTTGTCATATTAGGGTTCGAATAGCCCTCTAACAGTTTGCACAAAATATCTGTAAAGAATGTGTTTTACCTGTTCCTTGTTTTCCAATTATAATGAGAGCAGTTTCATTTTTAGCACTTGGATGTTGTAGATGTTTGCAAACCAACATAAGATATACTCATAAACCTTTTCGTTTCCATTGCATATAATTTCTTTGACATGGTCTAACCAAGCTTCTATAACATTTTCTTTCCATTCTACTTGTTCATATTTATATCCAGTGAAGATAGAATAGAAGTTTGGAGATGGTGTATAAAACTTTATACCACGAACTGAAAAATCTTCTAACTTTGACAATAAGATATCCCAAGCATCTAACATCTTCATGCCAACTTGTACGACTTTTATTTTCTTAAGTTTCTGTCTACATTCTTGTTCTGAAACTATTGTTGCTCTTGGTTTGTTAAAGACTACATCCCATTCTTTCATGACATAACATTCTGGGGCAGAGTCGACATAAATGACTAAACGTTTCAAATTCTCGACTGCTTTGTTATAGTCTCGAAATGGACACATATTTCTGAATGTTTGGAAGTCATAAAAATCTGAAACATCTATTCTGTACATTTTTATAAAAATAAAAAAAATATTTTTTTTTATTCTTGAGCTATTTGTTGCATTTGTTGCATTTGTTGTTCTTGAGCTATTTGTTGTTGAAGTTGTTCTTGTAATACAATACTTTCACCAGTTGCATCTTCCAATTCGAAACTTTCTGCCGTCATTGACAAATACATAGGACATAAAAGTTTTACAGGAACAAAGTTTGCGTCAACTAAGGTTAAGTTTATGTTTGCTAAAGTGTTTGAGTTTACTAAGGTTGAAAACTCTGCATTCGAATGAACAATAGGCAAACTAGCAGAGAATGTGTTATTTATACGCATAAGTATCTTTTGGTCATAGTAGTTTCTGTCGACATTCGAATAACACTTTGAACCTAAGTTTGAAACAATATATAAAATAGGTGTACTTAAAGTCAATGGAATAGACATTCCTTGTATGACACCTTTTCCTGTTATAGGAAATTGTTGGTAGTAAAAACCAGATATAAGTTTTGTATTATAGCTCATATTGTTTATAGTAAACTCAGTCGGACATCCAAACATAATGAAACCTGCTCTAGTTGCAGCACATGTTACAGTCGTCCTTAAAGTATTAAATAAGTCAACAAAACCTGTTGGTGGTATATCTGAGTAAGTATCTTCAAAGGAGTATTTTTTACCATTCACAACAATAAAATCTTCTGGTGTCAAAAGAGCAAAACAAGCTTTAGTCGTCATTGTGTTTAAGGTTAGTTTACAATATCGTCCTTGAGGACTTTGTAAGTTTGTTGTTATAGAATTATATGACTCAGGGTTTTTAGTCGTAATAGTATAAACCATTGTGTCTTCTGCCATTTACATATATTTAAAAGTTTTTCTGAAAGTGGAGAAGAACTTCATCTAAACTTTCACATGGCGTTTCTTGAAGTTCTCTGTCTAAGAAGTTCAAATATTTTGTAAAGACATAGAACTTTCCTTTGTCTACACGAACAAACAAAACAGGGTCTTTCATATCGTTCAAAAGTGTGTAAAGTCCTTTACATGAAATAAAGTCTATATTATTTTTCTTCAAACATCTTTCAAGAAGTTTTGACATTTTTACTTAGCAAATAAATTTTAATGAAATGTTGTGGTCGTCAAATATTTTTATAACGTCTGGGAAACTATATTTTAAGTTCAACGTTTCACCTCCTTTCATAACGTATATCTTGTCAATGACATTATATGAAACACCACAGCAACTAACGTCGGGTTCTATTTCTTTGATGTTTATATCGTCTGCCTCTGTCAAAAGTTTCAATAGTTCTTTCAAAACTTCATGAGGTGCAATGACATATGAGTTCACTTTTACAGGGTTGTGTTCGACCAAGTTTAACATTATACCTAAAGCTTGACAAATCTTCTCCTGAGTTTGAAGTTTGTCTTTCAGTTGTTGGTAGTCGTTTCGAATATCTGCAACAGAACTTAAGTCTCTGCTAACTTCAGGATATGTTGGTTGTTCTTTTACAGGAACTATTGTTATACCATCTTCGTCTTCGTATGGTTTCCCCATTTCAACATCTCTTTCTTTGACATTGACAATAACACTTTGACTGTTTGTTTGAGTTGGTGAATTTAACTTCACATCTGCCACCGCCATTAAACCTTTTGAAACACTCACGCTTCTATTTTTCGGAAATGACATTTTACTTAGAATAAAAAGATGGACGTATTCGAGTATCTCTTCGAATTGAAGCAGAACAAAGTTTACACACACAAACAATACAAATACATTGACAGAATAGTTCTTTACACAAACAATGGAAAATGTTATAGAATAGCAGTCTTTGCTGAACCAAAATATTTTCATAAAGCAAAGAAAGTTGGTATAACTGAAATGGTGAAAGTTCTTGACGTTGACAAAAATATAACAACAAAACTTACAGATATTTCTAAAGGTAAGTTTATCTTACAATATTATGTCAAAACTGGCGTACTGTCAATATTTGACGGAGAGAAGTCAGTTCAAGAACAACTTACTGACCTGCTGCCAAAATCTGCTCGATGGAAGCTGTCGTTATACCAATCTGAGGAGCCCAGCAGGTTTCATCGAACGAATCTTCAAAAGAGCATCTTCCGTGAAAAGTGCTATTGGTTTTGTAAACTTCTTTGCTCTCAGTTCATCTGGACCGTCTCTGTCACCAGTATATTGTATTTGAACTGTACCAACAGTTGAAATACCACCCATAAAGTCTTCTGAGTCAGCAAATGGAATGCCAAGCCAAAAGTTTGAACGGTCTCCATTTGTATATTGAGTTTTTTGACCTCCTGTATGAGTCCATACTTTCACATATGGCATAATAGAACTTTGCATTTCAGGTTAATGGTTGTTGTGAAGTTGTTGTTAAAGTTCATAGCATCTAATGTCAAGTTGTATGACCTCATATCCTCAACTGTAGAATATTCTTCTCTTGGATAATATTTGCCATCTATGTTTATATGATATTTAATACCAGGTTGTAGAAACAAGAATAGTCATTTATAGTTCGTCTGAACAGTACAAACATAGTATCTGCATGTTTCATTGCAGTTGTTAAGGCAATATCTGTTCTTGCACCTGGGTCAGCACTTTGGTTTCCAACTTCACCTGCAAAGTCTTTGACAGATATTTGGTGTATAGGGAACATAAGTGGAACTGCAATATATTTGGCAGCTAAAGCATTTGAAATATCTGGGTCCAACATATAGACTGCAAGTCTGCTTTCTATTCTCTTGCATTCAAATTTTTCGCATGTGAACTTAACTGGGTCCCAAGCAGTTCCAGCAGCATTGAAATAATAGTTTACTTCAGTGTTGAGGTTTGAGAAACCAAAGTCTAAGTCAACTTTGTCTTTGCAAAAGTCGGCGAATGACATTTTATTTGTTCCCACTACTTCTGTAATAGTGAATGGGTCTTGTGTTGGTGCAATGACTAAGTTATTTTTGCTTGGAGTAAGTTCAATAGAAATTTTCCTGCCCAGTTTGGCAAGTATCTTAAAAACCTGAAGATGAGGAAAGATGACAAAGGAACTCTAAGTTTCAGTTTTACTTTAGTGACAGCATTTCCATCTGAACCAGAAAGGTTAACATAAACTCCTGGAACGTTAGGGTCAAGTCTTCTTATTTTCTCAATAGTTGCATACTGGTCTGTTTGTTCTCTAGCTTGTGGTTGTACTGAGTTTCTCAAAGCGAACCATTCATAGTTTGCCCATGTTACTGTTTGAACTAAGTCAGAGTTAGAATATATCTTATATCCCATGAAAACTTCTGGAGCATATTGGTATCCGACATAGAAAATACCATTGCAACCTTTCTTGTCAGACAACTTGGCAGAAGGTTTTATTTCAATGTCTTGTTCCACGTATAAGAATGAGTTGTCAATAGAAATAATATGAAACCTGTCGCATGCAATATCTACTGTTGTTGAAGAACCTTCTCCAAACTCACCTACGTTTCCGTAAGAAACAGCAGTTGTATATTCGTAAGTTCCAGGAACTATTTCTGACCTTCTAATGGCATTGTCGCATTCGTTATACCATTCGGAAACATTTCCATTCATGGCATCCAAAACTGTTGGCGTTATATTCTGAGCGGCGTACATTTCATATGGGTAAAAATATAGAATAGTTGGATTTATTTGTCATAATAGAACCCACGTGGACCAAGCTTTACTTTCTTCCTGGCTGAGTTTTTAACTCTTCTTTTTCCTTCATTGCCACTACTTTCACTAGATGAAGTTACTTCTTCACTACTTTCACTTTGTTCTACTCTTCTCTTCTTCTTTGGTAACTTGCCCTCTGCTTCAAGTTGTTGCATCTTTGCCTCATGTTCACCTAGTATGTTGTAAATTTCCCATGTCCTTTTTGCCTTTGGGCTCTGGTCGCCCATCTCAGGTAACCTATATCCTAGAAAGAGTTTGTCATAGTTTGTATTTGAGTCTTCGCGTATTGTTTGCATGACTCTTTCCTGAGTTTCCGGTTCAAGCTCTTCAAATATAGCTTGTCCATATGGAATAAGCTCGTTTCCAAATATATGTTTTTGTAGCCATTCTGGTTTTCTTTCCATGTTACCAATTATATCTTTTGTGAATGGGAAAGCTTTTACCCAATGTTTCAGGCTTGCGTCATTTATTTCTGTAGTTGGTTTTATTTTGTCAAGGAACATGTTTTTCAATACTAACATTTCATTTGGTACTGTCCATTTGAGTTTTCTTAAATATTCATCCCTTCTCAGTTCATTGTCTGCAAAGTAAGTTTTTATGACATTTTGTAAACTTTCGTTTGCAAGGTCATGTACAATAGGTTCTCTTCCTTCTCTCTCCCTAACTTTCTTTCTAAACTCTTCACCAAATATACCATCTTTATGGTTCTGTGTAGTTCTTTGAGATAAATGTTCTAGAACGTCAGGTGTTATATTTCCATCAGCCATGTTCATTTCATACTGGTCCAAAATATCTGCATGTTTCATATCTTTCAATGGCATTAAAGCCGCGCTGAAAATACCAGCTATATCTGGTTCACCATTCACTTCCATTGCGTCTACAACTTCTTGGAATTGTGGTTGTAAGTTTATGAACCACCTATCCGGGTTAGCTTTATGACCCCATCTCATTGTAGTTCCATAGTCTGCAGAAACAAAAGTAGGTTTGTTTCCATATTGGTTAGGTTCTGAATGAACTTTAAACAATGTTTCATTTCTATATGTTTTGTTGAAATTTAACCTTTTATTTTCACCGAGTTCAGCCAAAGATTGAACGTTATATGGTCGTAAGTAAAAAGGGTTGTTGTATTTGCGTACATTTTCTTTCAGTACTTCCATTCTATGCTGAATATTTTCATCTGGTGTTGGAGTCTTTTGTATGTCGGCAAACATTTTTCGATATTCTTCTACTATGCCAGCCGAATTTTTTTTAGACTCTTGGAAAGATTCCATATTCTCCTCATACTCTTGTTGAGGGTCAAGATTTTTCGGCTGTTCCAAATCTTCATCTAGTTCTGTGAAGTTAGTTTCCAAATGAGGGACTTGTTCGTTTCCTTCAGGCTCTTCTAGCTGTTGTTGCTGAACTATTTCTTCCATGTCTGGTTGTATCTGAACTTCTTCCTGTTGAGTTTCTTGTACCTCATCTGCTGGCATTTCATATATTCCGAGACCGTTTTCAACAAGTTCCCTATCTAAGTCATCCGGACTCATAAACCTTTCTTCTTTCGTTCCGTCTCTATTTTTTACGCGTTTCATGAAGAGAGTTGAATTGTCATTTAGCTCTGACACCAAATATCTCGGAGTAAATTCGTTCATGTCATTTGGATGATATGCTATTAAATCATATCCCTTAGCGAGTTTGTATTTTCCAGGTTTGAAATTATATCCCATATGGTGCTGAGCCATAAAGCTAAATAGGTTCGGGTCAGTATTTCCTTCCTTGAACTTTCTAATAGCTTCTTTATATCTGTCACTAAAGTCAAGAGTATCTGGGTAACCATAGTCTTCCTTAAGCATTTTTAAGAATTCTTGGTTTCCTTGTTCTCTACTTCTTTTATGTCCTTGCTCTGTTTGTGGTTGCTGTGCTGGTTGTGGAGGTGGTTGTTGTGCTGTTTGTGGTTGCTGTGCAGGGTTTTGAACTGTTGGTTGCTGTGCTGGTTGTGGAGGTGGTTGTTGTGCTGGTTGTTGTGTTGGTTGTTGTGTTGGTTTTGGTGCATGCCTGTGTCTGTGTCCATGTGACGATGTAAATGTTTTAGGTAGTCCTGGTGCAGGTGCTTCTCTTGGAGGGTTTGGTGGTATATAAGTTCCACCAGCTGGCACATATGTTCCATCTGCAGCATAATGTCCTACCTGACTTTTCGTTCTTAAGAAAGCATTTACTAGGTCTGTTTTGGTCTGTTGTAACTCTTTTTCTTGACTTTCCACAACAGTTGCTCTAACGGCGTCATAGGCGCTTTGAACTGCCTGTCTCGTTGCTGCATCTGTTATTTTCGTCATATTTTGTGCTACTTCTTTTAACTCTTTGTCGAAACCTTCAGACTTCAGTTTCTTTCCAGATGAGAAGTCGTTCACTAGTTTCACCTTACTATGAAGAGCTTCGAAGGCGTTCTTAAAGTCAGCATTCGTTAAAGCTTCATTTGAACTGTCTTCATCCGCTTGTATTTTTGTCCTTATTGACCCTATAAGTTGAGCTGCTTTAGCGTTGGCTTGGGCATCTAACCAGTCATTGTTAGCTTTTATATATTCTGCGCTTTTCATTGCCTTTTGCATGGCTGCGTCGTTATTTTTACTTTCTTGTGCTAAGTTTTCATACTGTACGGTTTGGTTTTGCAACTGTAAAAGTTTTTCTGCCTTTACATTTGCTTCAACTTCTTTTTTATACTCATCGCTATCCATATATGTCTTCAGGGCTTTTTGTTTTATCTCTTCATCTTTCAGTACTTTATATTGAGTAGTATGGTTTTTCAAATTTATAACATCTTGTTCCATTTTTGCTACTTCTGCTGCTTTTTCTGACACTTTTTTCGCATATTCCTCTGTACTTAGTTCTTTCAGTTGTTCTTCTTTCTTCTTTTTCTCTACGTTTAACTCATTGAGTTTCTTTGTGTGTCTGTCATATTCTAGTTTCTTTTCGTTTTCACCTATTTGTTTCTGTATGTCTATGTTTGACTTTTTGACATCTGATATTTGATTTTTGAGTGAACTCAAATTCATTTGACTTTGAGGGTTATAAGCTGTTCCGTCTGCAGCTCCACCATAGCCTGCCATTTTCGCTAAAAGTGCCGCTCTTAAACCTCCACTCTGTGCACCAATAACTCGGTTTAAAAGCATAGGATTGCTTGACATTTGTTGCAACATAGTGGGGTCATTCAGCATTTGTTGTTGTGGTGTCAGTTTTACTATTGGATGTTTCAATGCTCTCTTCCTCTTACGTATATTCTTACGTAGCTTACGTGGCATTTTAAGTGAAGTTAAAAAGCGGTTTTATACTAAACATCTTCAGGGCTAGAAGGGGCGCAGCCCCTGGAAGCCCCACTACCTTTTTTTTTTTTTTTTTTATTTCATTATGGTAGTGAATCTTTTATTCATGAAAATAATTATTTCTAATTTCTTTTACTCTCTCATACATACTAGATTTAAAGAATTCAGAACATTTCCCATAATCTCCTAAATGTTTTCTTATCCCTAACGTGTGCCAGTTATTATATGAAACTGAATAAACTTTATCTTTATCTTTGCATCTTTCATCACTTCCAATATATTTATATCTCAGTTTTGATTTATTGGTTTCATATTCATTAACGTTTAATAATTCACAGTCTTCCTTTTTAAATAAATGTTTTATGTATTCAGGATTTAATACTCTACGTTTATATGCTCCTAACTTAGTTCTAAAGGTTTTTCTACAAAATTTAGGAATTCCATCCTCTTTAATGTCATCAATGATTTCCATTTCATTATTTTCAATTTCTTCTTCTCGTTTATGAGGTCTTTGATTATGACTCCATTGATTCCATGAAATTAAATATTCTTTATCATTATATTTATACCTCATTAGCTTATTTTGGCTTTCATATTCATTTAATAATTCACAATCTTCATTTTTAAATTGAAGTTTAACCCATTCAGGATTTAAACAATGTTTAATTAATCGCGGAATATCTGACATCATCTATATATAGCTTCTTTTATAAAAGATGGAAAAATAAATTATTTTAAAATTAATGTTAATTTTTTTTAATGATTTATTTTTTATTTCATTATGTTTGGGCTGAGTGTAAATGTCTTACAATTTTGAAAATTTTTTAAATCTTGATTTATTCAAAAACGTAAGAATAAAAACCGTCAGAATCATACATTTTTTACTTCATATGTTAAAAAAAATGATATAAAATCGCTCGATATTGTATGAATTCTTACGTTTACAAAAAAAGTCACACAACCCTTCCACATATACTACTAACGATGATTGATATTAAAAGAAAGAGAAATTTATAAAATGATAATTGATATTAAAAGAAAGAGAATGTTATAAGACGATGATTGATATTAAAAGAAAGAGAATGAAATAAAAAGATGACTGATATTAAAAGAAAGAGAATGAAATAAAACGATGATTGATATTAAAAGAAAAAGAATGTCATAAAATGATAATTGATATTAAAAGAAAGAGAATGTTATAAAGCAATGATTGATATTAAAAGAAAGAGAATTATATAAAAAGATGATTGGTATTAAAAGAAAGAGAATGCCATAAAATGATAATTGATATTAAAAGAAAAAGAATGCCACAAAATAATAATTGATATTAAAAGAAAGAGAATGTCATAAAACAATGATTGATATTAAAAGAAAAAGAATTTTATAAAACAATGATTTATATTAAAAGAAAGTTGATAAGTTTAATATTGATATCTGCTCCATGTTCAATTAATAATTTGATAATTTCGGGTGCATTTTGTTTAATTGCTAAGCTAAGAGGACATTCATTAATATAAAAAGAATTTCATAAAACGATGATTGATATTAAAAGAAAGAGAAATTTATAAAATGATAATTGATATTAAAAGAAAGATAATGTAATAAAACGATGATTGATATTAAAGGAAAAAGAATTTTATAAAACGATTACTGATATTAAAAGAAAGAAAATGTCATAAAGCAATGATTGATATTAAAAGAAAGAGAATGTCATAAGACGATGATTGATATGAAAAGAAAGAGAATTTCATAAAATAATGATTGATATTAAAAGAAAGAGAATTTCATAAAACGATGATTGATATGAAAAGAAAGAGAATTTCATAAAACGATGATTGATATGAAAAGAAAGAGAATTAAACAAAACAATGATTGATATTAAAAGAAAGAGAATGAAATAAAATAATGATTGATATTAAAAGAAAGAGAATATCATAAAATAATGATTGATATTAAAAGAAGGAGAATAAATACATTGTTCACGCTATTTCCATTTTGAATTAGATGTGATGCTGTATCAAAATTCCCATAATACAAAAATTTTGCTATTTCTGAAGAAGGATGTTGATCAAAACGTGTTGAAAGATAATTCACAAGATCGTAATTTCGGTGAATCAATGCAATGTCGATTAAACCTTTAAATGATTGACCGTCGTTTAGCATTTGTGAGAAAATTATTATGTTTCCACCTTCAGAAGCTAATTCTGCGGTATTTTCAGTATATTTTGCACCTTTATTTTTCAGGTATTTGAAGCATAACTCGGATCCAAATTTGCATGCGCACTCAAGAGGTGTTAAACCATCGCATATCTTATTAACATCTAATTTTCGGAATTTGCTTTTAAGATCATCGATTTTATCCCAAGCGATAAAATATAAAGGGCTATCTTTTTTATAGATATTTAGAATGTCTTCTTCTTTTTTGTTAGGTTCGAAGCCATTATAGGATAATAATGTTGCTAAATCTTTATTTTCTGGTTTGATCGTCAAAGAAAACTCTTTTGAAATATTTTGATAAAATTTTGCATATTCAGCAATATTCTTGACGCGAAGTGTTGAAATGGTATCAATTAAATAAAGTGCCATTTTGACAGGAATTTTTTTGGTTTTAATGAGTTCAATTATCTGTTTTGTGGATTTTGTGATGTTGTTAGTATTGATATCCCAAATAATTTTTGAAGCTTGATTTGGATACTTGAATTCTTTAAGTAGATCCGCATCGGTGGAATTTTCTTCTTTAATTTGAGATATTATAGTTTTAAGTACAATTGTATTTCGTCGTCACTTTTTTGTTTTGCTTTTTGAATGGAAATTAATTCTGCTTGAAGTTTTTGGATTTTTGCTGTTGATTCTGAAATAATTTTATCATTTTCATCTAAAATACCAATAATTCCATCTAACATCCTTAATTTCATGTATTTTCGAACAGATTTAAGTGTTGAAATAGCTTCTTGGTAATTGCAAATTTAAACTTTAGTGTTTCGAGCGCATTCGTATAGCTTATTTTCATCAAGAGTAGATTTAGATTGTTTAAGAAGAGTAATGAAATCTTCTGATGTTAAATTCGCTAGTTTTAGGATTTGCTTTAAAACTTTGAGTTCAAAAATTTCAAAAAGATTACCCTCTTGAATATAATCATTGATATTGGCAGCCATATATTCATAATCCGGGATTAGTTTATCACTCATCTAAAAAAAAAATTACGAAATTGTATCAGGATTTGTTTTTAAAATGAATTAATGATAAATATCAATTTCTCAATTTAGCTTTAAACGACGTCGTATAAAAAGTCGTATAAAAATTTCTCAATTTTGAGTTTTAGCTCAAAATAAATAGAAATTTAGATTCGTCATATATTGGAGTTTCTAAATCCTCTTTTTATTTAAGCCAAATTTTCGAAAATTTTGTCAGAAAAATTTCTGACACTCTCACTTTTTGGAGATCTACATATGACATTAAATAACTTTTTTATAAAAAAAACGCAAAATTAAGGGTCCATTGTAAGGCCAAATAAGGTCTATCGTCGTCCCAAAAATATTGCTCGAGATGGTGTTTTACTAAGGCCCAAAACTTAAAAAAACACAAAAAAATTAACTTTACTCTTTTGAGATCCTTATCAGATTTGCATCAATTTGATGCAGTATCGCAGTTCAAATCTGATTTTTTAATGTAGATGTACTCTAACATCCTTTAAAAAATGCAAAATGATATTAATTAAGCTTTTCATTTCTGTATCATACACGAAACAAAATCGTTCATTATACTAAAATTTATCAAAGTTTGATTAATGAAAAAATAATATCTAAATTTTTACATTGAGTCGGCTATTGATATGGTTAATATTAAATCTTGTAAAAATTGGCATTATCCAGAATAATACCCACTAAAATACACAATTTTTTTAAAAAAAATTTTATCAATTGTTATGGTATATCTTTATGATAATGAATAAAATGCTTATTTTTCATAAGTAAATACATAATTTATGCTTAAACACAAAAAATAACACGAAAATTTTTGGCCAACATATCTAAACTAAGGATAATGGTTTGAATATATAAACAATAATACTTTGTCCAGGGAATTAAATTTGTGCTATCCAATTGTCAATTCTTTGAATTTTTTTTAAACGCAAGATATCCCGGCATTAGCCTCAATAAATATATATTATGCATCATAATATTAGTTTGTAATGGCATTAAAGCGAAATTCCTAATTTCTTCTCAATTAAATTCCTTGAAAAACATTGGAATTAATGATTGGAAATAGGTCAAAAAAATTCCTAATATAAAACTTATACTTAAGATAAAATTAAAATTCGAAAATATCTATTTTTCAAAACACGCATCCAAAAGCGAAAAAATTCGAAAAAAATCATGTTCTTATAAAACTCACTGATTTTGCAATTTTTATGAGATTTGAAGTGATAGAATATATTACCATCTTATTGAAACATATGCTTCATTGTTGTATTCACATAATATTAATCAGAACACTTGGAAAAGTGGATTTTCGAAAAATGACGATAACGATTATTTGCAAATTGCCTCTCAATTTTGAGAGACTTTCAATTTTTACAGTGGACCCTTAATTCTGATCTGGCAAGGTGTCAAACTTTGAAATAATTGTATTCTTATTCAAATTATACATGAAAATTTACAAATTTTAAAAAGAGTTCCGATTTTTCATTTTATAATAGTGTTATACATACATGTGAGTAATATTTTATACGAAAATAATATTGATGTAATATGATTATCAAAATAATTCCCCAAATATTAAGTATTCTTGTGAAACATAGATCATAAATATTGTAATATTGATAGTATAGAATGATTTATACTCTAAACGCAAATAATATTATACTTGCATCTAAATTAGATTATGATATCCATAGAACTTAGCTAAATTCTCGATTTAATCACCGCTTCAATTAGTCAGACTAGTATGCATTATACCCTACTTATTACATTGATTGATACCGAATATTCAGTGTGGAACCACTTCTAAATAAATGTCGTTCAAAATAAATTTATAAGTCTTTATTTTTAATCAGAAAAATAAGAAATGGTTATTGTAAGAAAACGCTTTTTCTCAAGAAATTATTTTTGAAATTCTTTTTCTTGAAGAGTAAATGTATTACAGTGTGAATAGAAGTAAGCTAAATCAGGAAAGTATTCTGATGAAAAGAGTGTGAATCAAGCTTTGAGTCTAAATGAACTTCAATAAATAAGTTTGAGTGGACCTATGAGATCCATAAACAATCTTTTATTAAGTTCAGAATGTAGTATGTTTCCATTTTCTTTTTCTGATGTGAAAGTCAATTGTTTCCTCTTATCAGCAAAATCAAGAAATTATTTCAACGGAACTAGCATGGATCTATGTTCAATTTCAACATAACCATTTTGAATCAAAATTTCTGCACGGTAGATAATTTCATTTCTTTTTTTCGGAATATGGAAGAAGGTTCTTTCAAATCTTCTTCTTCCGATTCCCTAATAGATATTCAGATTGAAGAATCGTTAAATAGGGAATCCTTGATGGCAATTGATTCTGCAAACCTCAAAGAAGATATTTATACAATTTTTGGATTCGTGCTTATATTGATTTTAGCTGTTTTGATAGGAGTATTCGGTCCCAAAGCAGCTGGTGAATACTCTTCTTCATGGAAATTTTTACCAGACTCTTCAAATAATACTTTATCTTTTCCAATTCAAGGAATAAGCTCATTACAGCGAAGTATTTCATTACAAATCAAATTTGAAAAAAGCATGTTATCGAAAATCAATGAAAAAGAAATAACTATTGAATATTCAATTGATTTCCTGAAAAAACAACAGAAAGTCAAACAATATACAAAAGAGAAACAGGATGTTCTACTAGTTTTTGATAAAAATAGACAATTTTCGCAGCCTTTTGTTTTATATTCGACTTCATTAATTGATTTTGATTTCTGTAATGTGAAAATAACCACTGAAAACTTATCCAATGCTATCTTATCAGAAACTGTTAGTATTTTATACGGAAACGAACAACATACGATTTTCCAAATTTATTTCCGTCTTATTTGCTCAGGATTCAGCATGGTTCTATTTATTACTTTGCTAATTAGGCTATCCAAAATCTCCCCGAAGCTGTGGCATCTCGAACAGCAGCTTACAATGCCATTATTATTTTTATCATTTTTAATGATTAATCCATTGTTCATTATTCATATGTATTTCCCATTTGAATTGTTTATCTACATCGATCGGATCTTTTCTGCTGTTTTCAATGCTTATTTTTACTTTTTCATTTTGACTTTGTTCGATTCATTAAGATACAAAAACAGAAAGACGGACAAATACTTCTTTGTTCCAAAGATCATCCTATTTGTTTTGTATTTATCCATTCTTTTCGTAGAATCATTTTTCCATCACGTTCAGTTACTTGATGAGCCATTCTTACCACGATTTTCTAAGAAGGAAAGTTTAATGAATTGGATTCAAATCGGTTCTGAAATGGTTTTCATTGGTTTTATCATACTTTCTATAATTAGAGCTGCATTACAAATTGATGTCACTGAAAGATATAAGTTTAACATGTATATTATGTCAACAATTACAGCAATAACTGCTATTTTGCTCTGTGACTTTGTTTTCAAGGCATTTCGAATTGGAATGTCGTCTTCCATAAGTTTTATAGCGAAATTCGTTGTTAAAAGTATTTACGTTATGCTCATGGCGTATTTCCACTGGCCGTATGAAGTTTTAAACGATCAAGTGTACGATAATAAATCAGAAAATATCTTGGAAGATGAAGCTTTTACTGTTTAATAAAAAATTAAAATTCTGTTTGTATATATTTTATTCTTTTTCATAATTTTTTTTAATTCGATAATGAAATTCAACTTCATTTGTTTAACAAAGCGTGCTCCGCTTTGATATAAGATATCAATTCAATTCCTTTGTGTTAATTACTCAATTCAACTAGAATTCAAAAGAAAAAATTGAATTTTTTAAAAAAAAATTAAACAAATCAATGATGTATTTTGTAATTATCTCATGCTCTTCCCCTAGTTGAACATTTTTATATACGTATCAAGTAAATAAGGTTCAATAAAATTGAATCATTATTTTGGATATATCAGCGATAATCATATGTTTTCGCTTGAAATTTCAACGCAATATGTCTACTATAGGAATGTGAAACCTATATCGGATCAAAGTTGCGATGATTTTCAAAGAATTTTAGACTATTTTGCTATTTTCTCGAGGTAAAAGAAAATTCAATTAAACGAAAAACAAACAATTTATTCAAAAACATTTCAAGCCATGCGAGATTAACCTTAGAAGCATCTTATCAGAATATCTGTTAATCTTCACTGGGCAGTTAAGTTTCATTCCGTTGCAAAGGCATTGGTTTGGTTTAACAATTCTTGGGAGAGAAGTATTAGGACGGGAGACTTGGTTTGCCTTTGAAGATAAAACAATGAAATGTTGAGCGCAATACTGCTCAATCATTTCAATTATTTCCTTTGATGATGGTCTTTCTTTTGGCTCGCAGATAAGCATCTCTTTTATTATGTTGCCCATAATACCTTGAGCTTTATTTTGGAAAAATAATTTTTTGGCCTGGACATCCTTCAAATATTGAACTTCGCTCTGGTAGTTGAATGGAAAAACATATGTGGCCATAACATGTAATGTTATTGCCAAGGACCAGATATCGGATTTCTTTCCATCATAATTATCAGTATTAATGATCTCTGGAGCCATGAAAAATGGTGTTCCGCAGAATGTGTGTGAACTTGCAGCGTTTTCGCATGACATTCCGAAATCAATTAACTTTGGATGCATATTTTCATCGAAAAGTATATTTGCTGGTTTGATATCTCTGTGGGAAATTCCTCTTTGATGCAAATAGTTCAGAGCATCGAGAATTTGATATGTAATATTGAGTTGTTCTTCAACACTGAATCTTGTTCCTTGGGAAATCAATGATTGGAGATCACCATTTGGTAAGTATTCCATAACTATCATTATTGAATCTTCTCAGTAGATAATATCATAAACTTTAGCAATATTTGGATGATTAAATCTTGAAGCAAGTCTTAACTCTGATTCTAAATAGTTGAGCATACCACTATTAGTGAGTTCATTTCTATCAATGATCTTAATTGCGCAAACGCGCTTGGAATTTTTATGAATTGCTTTGACAACAACTGCAAAGCCACCCTTTCCTATAACATCAAGAATCTCATATCCCTTAAGCTCTATGGGTATGTTTACTGATATATTACTATCTGTACATTCAGTTGTGAAACGAGACATTATATAAAATGATAAAAATTTATAGTTCAAATTTTTGAGAGGATTATATTCGATGAGGGAAAATTTTCAGATAATCTAAAAATTTTGTAAGAAATGTTTATGAACAATATATAAATCAGCATATTTAAAGCAACATTTAATATGAAAATCGTAAAAAATAAATTCGCGAATACAAAATATTGTATCATCATACATACATAGAGTTTTTCGTTGGGAAATTGATAAATTCAGATGAAAGTTGAAAAGTTATGAAAAAATAATTTTCGGAAACTTTTGTGAACTCAATTTAATTTTTGATCGCAAGAAGGATATTGTTTAATGATTAATGCTGAGTCTTTTTCTAATTTTTCGAATCGGTTGTCCGATTTTTTGAGAAGGTTAGATTTCATTCTGAAATCAAACTCATACAATATAAAATATGATACTCGTATTATATTATATCATAGCATCTTATTTTCAGAAAATTTAATATTGTCCATAACCTTTGTGACTTTCAATTTTGTAATTTTGTTAATTCTCAAAAAATCGATTCTCTCACAAAAACTTCAATACTACTCACAATTTGGCATGATTGCTGCATATTGTTCCTGTGTTGTTGCTATATCAGTCTTTCAGAACCGCAAAATTAATTGTCAAAAATCCCATTTAAATTGTGAAAGTGATGATTGGTCTAAGATGTAATTTTATTCAATATCATGAATGTTTCAATATTTTGTATTTTCAACATTCGATGAATTTTGGGGTGACATAATAAAAATGTAAGGCGAATGACTGTAAAAAATTCTTTCCCAAATGATAATCGATTTATACTATGAATCATAACCTCTATATTTCTAAATGCGTTCTTTATGTTTTCTTAATTTGGGAAGATTCCTTCAAAATAATAAAGTGATTTACTAGTTCAAAAAAACCAATTTATTGATATACTGACGACTGACTTTCAATATCTTCATAGTTCCATTCATCTTCTTTGATTTTTTTATATTGGGAAAAATATTTTTTGGGAAAAATTTAAGTTGATCGATCACAATAATTCTGCATAGCCTATAATTTAATCTTTGATTGCTCTAACATTAAATTTCCCAAATTTTAATTAATCACATGTAGAAAATAAGAAACACTTGAGGAGGAAAGAATTTTTGAGTCATTTTAATACCACAATAAAGAAAAAAAAGTTATTAAGATTTAATAAAATAATAAAATTCATGATTTAAAAGACATATAATAATCGAACAAAGTTCTTGACTTACAAGTCAAAGTATCATTGCCGACTTGTGTTATAAAACATTAAAAAAAGATAATAAAATTTAATGATTTTCATGAAAAGATAAAGATTTTTCATGATAATTTCAAAATAATAAGAAAAAAGCACACATATAACATTCAAACTACATACTACTTAATACCAAAGTTCTACTTTTCATTAATTTCGAATTTTTCATTTTATCATTTTAATTTTAAGTATTTTCTATATCAATCATGATCATAGTATCTATATATCTATTACTTCTCTTAGTTTCTTTTGTTTGTAAAATATTATTTTTTTTTCTAACAAAGGTGACCAAACTATTTTTTGAAAGTCCGCCATAACTTTAATGGTACTATTTCAGCGTGTACAATGAATACAAAAATTCTAAGAGTGCCACATAAAATAGTACTTTAAACTTGAGTTAATGCTACCAAGCAAATGTTAAAAAGATGACTTTAGTGTTTTGATAATCAAAGATTAAAATCATTATTGTCTAAATCAATAATCATAACGACAGAAGTTAATGTTTTTTCATCAGTGCTTTAAATCCACTTTTAAAAGTATACCTCAAAAATCAAAATATCAAAAAAAATTGGCCGATAGGTTTGGCTTTAATTTTTGTCTGCTTTTATGATTTGATATGGATGTTATAATTTTAAAAGTTGAGCCAAATTCACCAATAGATTTTTGAGATTTGCAAATACTCAATAATTTTCAGCGTGTTATCTTTTATTAAAAGAACTATTTGGTTTCAGTATCATATAAATTGATATTTACTTTCTATTTGAACCTTCATTTAGCTAATGATTTAATAATACAGATTTCATCTAGTCCTTATAAGAGAATTTTGAATTTGTTATAATAAAAAAACAAACAGATATAGCTTACACTTCTATAATAAAGATACCTTTTATAGAAATCAGTATGAAATGTGTTTTGGCTTATTGGAAGCATATCAGACATAATCGCCATAATCAAAAAATCTATATACCCAATAAGTAATAAATTTGTCGATATAGATTTTCCATAAAATTAGTTTTTAGTCTGATCTTAAAATAAATTTAATTTTTTATAAAAAAAATCACATTTAAAAGTACCTTTTTAGTAGCTCGAAATCCTGTTGGTGGATTTGGGGCGTACTTCAAAATTAGCTTTTCTTCTACATATGCAAGCTATATTTTAAATATGGGGCAAATCGGATCGGCGAAAGGAGTTTAGTTACCTTTGATAATAAACAAAAACATAAGGCTGAGAGAGCAATCATCATTGAAATTAGCCCTCATTCAGATTGTATGTTAGAGGTATTTGAAAGTCAGGCATGTGCTGGAATCGATACTTGTTGACAAACTTTGTTTAATAATTTTGCCCTAAATTTAATAGGGCAGGGCATTGAGTTATTGAGAAGATTACGTATGTCCCATGTTTCGATCTGTGATGGTTCTGGAATGACTTTATGTAACTGAACCGTTGGCAAAATCTTAGGGGTGATAGTTTCTTCTTTCTCTGTAATTTCTTGCTTTTTCTCTCTCACAGTCCATTTTTTAACCTCGCTTTTATCATTAACTAGGAATTCGTACTGTGATATTGCCGCTTGTCCAAATGGAGCTCCTTGAGGGAGAGATGTGTAGCCAAGTTGCTGTAGAGATCCATTTATTGAAGATTTACACTTACCTAAAAGAATTCTTAGTTGTTGAATGTTAATAATTAAAGTTTCATCAAAGAAAATGATACCACAAACCTTGCAACGCTTCCATTTATCTTGCTCTGATGAATCTACATACTTTTTAATTAGATTTAGCTTGTCACTTAATGAATCAAGCCTTTCTCCTTTTCTTGATTTGTGAATTTGTTCGTAAAAGAAGTTCCTAAGTGAAAGATATCCTGTTAGATCTGTTTTTGATAAGATTTCCCAATGTAATGGCATGTTATTGTCTGGTGCGATGCTACTATAGCTCATGTTGATTAAAATTTAAATAAAATTTTATACAATCATTCCCTCTCAAAATTTCTTATAAAATTTTAGAATTGAATGATTTACGATAATAACTGTCAATCTTTTAATTATCCAATTAATAATATTTGATTTATGCTATATTACTGAAATATAAAATAATATCATTACTTTGAAAAACATCATCGATTTTTCATTCAAAACTTGATTTGGTTAACATTTCTTATACCACTAGGTAATAAAAATCCAATATAAATTATTTTGCATTTATTCAATTTTTTCAAATGAGGACACATAGAAAAACCCATTGGCTAATTATAATTGTTTTGTATGCTGACTGGTCATTGATTTAATATCCAAATCGATTTCTTTAGTTATTGAAAAGATCGAAATCTGCTAAATAACATTCTTCGTAAAATTAATGAATATTGTGAGCTATCCGGGAACAGGACAAATTTGCCACACGGCACTTTTTTTAAAAAAAATTAATGGAGCGGAGCGATACTCTGCTGCAGGAGCCCCAAGGCTCCCAATCATTACGAAAGGGAGCCTCAGGGCTCCTGAGAATCCATCAACAGAGGCCTTTTCATTTGGCCTCTGCTGATCAAAGATTCGGCGAAGCCATTCTTCGTCTCAGGAGCCCTGAGGCTCCCTTTCGTAATGATTGGGAGCCTCAGGGCTCCTGAGAAACCTCTTTGAGAAGGTTTTCTTTAAGAAAACCTTCTCAAAGATGATTGTCAGCATTCACTCAAAATCTACCAAGAGTTTCAAAGTTTCAAATCTATCTGAAATGAAGCTTTGAATCTCTTGTATATCTAATTGTAGAGGTACCTTTTCAAAATGTCTTCTATTGATTAAATTTAATCAGTAAAAGTCATTTTGAAAAGGTACATCTCTATAATTGCTATTGAGCATTCACTCTTGGAACCTTGGAGCTCTTGTGTAGTGCATGAAAACTCCAAGATTCTAGCATAAAACATATATCATAGACATAATTTCTTCAAATATAATTTAAGGTTATTTTTTAAAAAATTAGAAAAGCGTAATTTAAGGTTATTGAAAAAGTGACACTTGGCAAATTTGTCCCGCACTCGAGCTATCCAATTTTTTTAGTTGGATGATCAATGGAGAATAAATTTTCAGCTATTGCTGACAATTCTTTCATTAATAATAAAATATTTATCCTTATTCCGATATTAATATTTTGGCCGGTGAAGATGTCAGAGACAAAATCGTTAAAATTGTTCAACGATTTTTAATTGTTTTCCAGAACCTGTCGGTGTTATCGATCATTTCGTTCTTAAGGCTATTGTTCATCTAGTATTTCTTGTATGAGCAAATTGGACGCTCTCCTTTGCAATGAAATAACCTCAAAGTTTCAATTATGGGAAATCCTACTGTACTTCATTTCAAGACACAAAAAATTATATAATCGCACAGCTTAACTGTTGTATTATTCATTATGTGATGATAATTTGGAAGCAATTGTTGGAAATATAATTTTTATTTAATATGATCCATTTTGAACATATTCAATAATCATATGAATCTTGTATGTATGAAATAATATAGTCTTGTTCATTTTAACTATTAATAAAATTTTCAACTTGAAAAATATCTCAAAATGTAACTTTAAAATTGAAAATATCATTGAGCCTATGAATGATCATTTGATAATTGTTGTTTAAAATATGTATTATCTATTTTCTTTATTGCCGTTTAAAAATTCGAGTTGCATAAAATGTCGAAAAACAATGAATTGACTCCTCATGATATTGAATATTATGATGAAATGACAGTTCCTGAAATCAACGATTTCATTCAGGCGCTTATTCAAGATTTACAATTCGAAGCAGTCCCAATAGCTCAAAAAGCTATCAAAAATAAGCAACAAAACGCAGAAATAGAAGCAAAAGAAACTATTGAAAATAATTTCAAGACTGAGTGTGTAGAAGCCAAAGATTTATATGAAATACAGTTAAATGATCTTGAAAAGCAATACAAAGCAAAAGAAATTCAAATTCGCGAAAAAATTGATGAAGCATTCAAGAAGATGAAAGAAATGCACATCGAACAACTTGTTGAAATTGAGAAGAAATTTGCTGCAGCAATAATTAAATCACAAGAAAAACCAGTAAAGGAACAACTCGAAATCGAAGAACAAGCAAGAAGAATTGCTCGTGATGGTGATATAGAAAGTGCTATTAAGTACAGAAAAATGGCAGAAGAAACAAAAGTTAAAGTATTGGACCAACGTAGAGATGCTATAGAAGCAATGTATAACGAGAAAAGATTACAAGCCCGTCAAAGACAGCAAAAAGAACTTCAAATTCTCCAAGAAAAATTAATCAAGAAACTGAAAGCATTAGAAACAAGTAAGAAGGAAGATTTAGTTGAAAGAGAGAAGGCGTTAAATGTATCTGTTCGTGCTGCAGAACAAAAGAGGGCAAATAAATTACAGAGTATAGTTAAACCTCATGACTAATTGATAAGATATTATTCTTTTTGTATAAAACATTAATTTTAATCGAAGTATCATGATTTTTAGAAATATACATGTTGTAATTAATAGAAAAATAAACAAAAAAATATTTATTTACATTCTTACAAAAATAATATGAGACAAATTCACTATTTCCGTTTGTTCACCCTTCCTTATTTTGAAGTATCCTGTCTGATAAATGCCTGGAGTGATTGGTTGTGCGATAAATGTGATTTTTTCTTCTTCTCCTGGTTGCAATGGTCTGATTTTCTTTTTAATTGTTCCTGTCCAAAGCAAATGTTCGGATTTGGTTAGTGCTGACTTGTAAGGAGAAATCAAAAGCTCTTTTGAAGGTTGATTTCCGTGATTTTTGATGCAAACTTGAACTTCGATCTTTGCATCATGAGAAAACGTGACTTCTGAGTCAGCAAATATTGAAAATCGGACATCTTCTGTTGGTTTGGTGAATCCTTCAATAAAGAAGTGGGAAATAGTGTTTTCTGGTGTTTTCATTTGAACAATTCCGCAATATACTGATGTATCTAGCATAGAAAGCTCTTTCTGGTCGAGTGTTGAGTCTGGATCATCAATGATTTGATTAATCAGCGAGAAATGGGAGTGTTTCGGAACTTTTGTTGGAGAAAAGTCTAATATCTTCTTGCCGATGATAGAAATCTTATCGATTTCGATATCATTTTCATCGGTAGAAATTTCTGACAACAAAATCTGCCGATCAACGAACGTTTGGTGGTTAATTATCCTTGATGAATAGCTCTCATGTCTGACAACATCGAATTTCAAAACATATGGAACGAATCTCCAAGAAGATTTTTCATCGGATCGGAAATTGAACAAAAACTTGATAACGGCTTGTCCTTCGGTAATGAAATGGAGGGTAAATGGTATGTTAGTTGTCTCTTTCTCTTTTAACCCTTCTTGTAAAGCAAATTTTGTGATTAATTTCTTTTCAAGTTCTTGTCCTGGATTTTCGAACTTGAAATTGGACGCGTTATCAGAAATTGCAGCTATTTCCGATATGGGTTTGGTTCCGAAATTCGTGAGTTTACAAAAACCGCTGACTGTTTGGCCGGCAGAAATTTTTGTTGGAATTTCTTCAAAAGAAACCGATAAAGATGGGAAAGTATCGACGACATTAAATTCTACAGGATCAAAGGAGATAATATCATCAATGATGCACCAGTATCGGAACGATAGACTTTGTAATTTGTAAAGTCCACTTTTTGACGGTTTTAATGTGAATTTCAAAATTGCCGACTGATTTTTGCCAACTTCTACACTTTGGATGACCGAGCAGTTGAGATCTGGGCCTTCATTGAGAAGCTTAAGATTTGAAAGCATCAAACTGAAATTCCTTCTGTTTTTAATTGGAATTTCGACAATAATTTCTTCTCCAACAACAAAAGTTTGTTCTTTTGGCCTGTCTTTCGATTGCCAAAGCATAGTAATGGCTCCAACACCACGAACTGACTTGAATTTCCTATCTTTGATGTCTAATACGTCTTCAAATTCTTTTTCGGCGAAATTGAAGTATTCAAGTGTTCCGTAGCACTTAATGTTGATGTGTGCTTTGTCTATGAACAGAAGTGGTATGTCTTTGATCTCAATAATGCCTTGTTTCGCTAAATTCAAAATTGAAAACAAGTTTTTGAGAGAAGATTCATCATGGCGTGATGTATTTGATTCAGAAGAAACCGTCATCAAAAGAATCTCCAAGGAATCACGCGCTTGCTGTGAGTAACAGAGAGCTTTTGATAATTGAAGGAAAATGTAGCCTGAAATGTAGATCCATTGAGGTGGCATTGATCTGTAGCCATTCTGTGATGGTATTCCAGCAACGAAATATGTATTGAAGTCGTTCATTCCGTACATAATATGATGAACTAAGGAAAAGCATCGGATTACGTGGCCATTGAGACCTAATTTAAGGTAGTGTTGGGCACTAATGAATAATGATCCAACAAATTTCTTCAAAAAGCCATGTCTGAAATAAAAAATTCCGAATTCTTCAAAAGCCATGGCTCTGAGAATTGATTTGAGCTTTGTATCAGTAATAGGCTTCAAACATCTGATGATTCGACGTTCCGTTCTATCAAAATCTTGGATATCAATATCAAATGATTCAATCATTGATAAATGTAAGACGTAACGTAGTAAAATGTATAGGGTATCTTCAGATTGTACTTCATCTTGGAACAAAACTTTGTCTGGTTGGAAATTCTGCTTTGGATCGAAAATTGTACACAAAAGCTTCATCAAATGAACGTATTGGTAATTTATTCCAGTCATGTTACTTGAAAATGACGAGAAAATCTTCAAAGCGTCTGAAAAATTCGACAATTGAAAGTTATATGTGGCCAATCTCAATTTCTGGAGATTTGTGGGCTTGGATGAGAAGATGGACTTCTTTGTGTTTTGGTCTGGGCTGATAATCTTCTGTAAGCTTAAGTATTGGGTGTTTAAAAATGTCAAATTTATGTGTTGGAAAATATCTGACATAGAATTCTGGAAATTGTTTATATGCATGGGGAAAACAAGGTCGAAAGCCGAAAACCCATGGAATTTTGAGAGTTCTTGGGGATCATCCGATAAATAAACCAAAATGTGGCAACAATTCTTCGCAAGTAGTTTCAATTCATCACCATTAGATAGTTCAGCGTATAAGTCGGGTATTTGTAAATTCTTAAGTCGATTTTGTGGTAAATTTTGGATTCCATCTGATGAAATGTATAAAAAGCAAAATGGTACGTCTGTTAAGAATCCTTTTTGGAACTGTGTATTTTGGAAAATGAATTGTCGAAACCACGTGAACCATGGAGTATGATGATCTAAATTGTTTAAATTAAACATAGTTGTTCTCATTTTCAGGTTGTATTTATCTACTATTTGCTTGTGGTTTGACAATTTAAACTCTTTGAAGTATTTGCTCTTACCAAATATTGATCCGATTTCATCTAATGCTTTTATTGAAAAATTAGTTATATCGTTGACTGATTTGGCGTTAAAAAAGTCTGTTGTGATGACTTTTATCGTTCCAAGAGAAGATGATGAGTTCGAAATTTTCTCAAATTGAGTTACATATTCAGAAACTTGAGGAAATCGCTCTAAAGTCTTTGGTTCTATATCAACGCACATAATAAATTGAAAACGTTGAGTGACTAGATCCTTAAATTCTTCACCATGCTCCATAAAATTTTTTTGGGAATCTTCCAAAATCTGAGCTGAAATTTCTAAAACAAACAAACTCCCATCATTGTTCCAAATTTAATTTCTCGCACAATTACCTGGAAAATCCTTAATTTTTATTGTGAATATCTGTTAAATAAAGTAAAAAGCTAAAATTTAATAAAATTCAGGTTTTAAACAGCAACTAAAAGCGAATTACATCAGTTCAAAATATCAAATTATTTTTGAAATTGAAAAAATAATATGAAATTTGGTGAATTTGTTGATTAAATCCTGAATTATGAAAAAATTTTGGAAAATAAATCGATAGATATTTAGTTTATTTTGAACTAATTCGGAATTTCCTTGGATAAATTCTAAGATAGATTAAAATTTCGATTTTTTTGATTTTGAATTTTATGGATCTCGCTTTCGGAACTTGTAAACAATTTTATTAAATGATTTAATTTTAATTTATTACTAAAATAGCTCATTTCAGATCAAAATCAGATCCGATATTTCGATATCTCAGAAATTTCATGGAATTTGGTATCAACAACAGAATCAACATATTGAACTTGATATGAATTTGTTGTATTCTTAGTAAAAAAAAGTTTTTTTTGTAATTATTTAGAGTCTGAATATTTTTGTAATGTTTTTACTCGTCGGCTTCAACTTTCTTCTTGCCGTGGAGCCAGTCGGAATTCTTGACAAATGGGTGCTCTTCGAAAGCGCGGTCTTCCCACTGGTCTGGTGTGAGGAACTTGAATGTTTCCTCCATGGCCTTGTATGTGGCGACAAGGAAGTTGAATGTTGTCTTTGTGTGGCCGAGGGAAGATGTGAAGAGATCTTCGAAGCCAGCCATTGTGAGGAGCTTCTTAGCGGCTGTACCAGCGACGATGCCGGAACCACGTGGAGCTGGGATTAAGCGCATACGGATGGAACCGCACTTGCCTGTGACTGTGTTTGGAACTGTATGTGGAAGACCGATCTTGTTGCCCCAATAGCCACGGCGAACTGGAAGGATGGAAAGCTTGGCATAGATTGTGGCGCCCTTGATAGCGTTGGCAACTTCAGCGGCTGTCTTGATACCAAGACCGATATGGCCCTTGCCATCACCGACAGCAGCGATAGCTTTAAAGCGGGTACGCTGGCCGGCACGTGTCTGCTTCTGGACTGGCATGATCTTCATGATCTCATCCTTGAGATCCTCACCAAGGAGATGCTCGACAATTTCGGCTTCCTTGATTGGGATAGCGTGGTAGAAGATCTCCTCGATAGATTTTATCTTGCCAGACTTGACGAGGCGGCCAAGCTTTGTGCGTGGCTGCCATCCACCCTTTTGCTGGCCACGTGGAGCGCGTGGACCACGTGGGCCACGACCTTCACGGCGTCCGCGCATTTCACCGCGGAGTGGTTGTTGCTCTTGTGCTGGAGCTTCAACTGGTGCCTCTTGAGTAGACATCGAAAGGCAGGACCAAAACCGTTTTGTAAAGTATATGACGAGTTTACAAAAAATAATTAAAACAAACCTTTTCCTTGTTCATCTCAGATAATTCCTTAACACATGTAGATTCTATTTACTTTGAAATTAAATCTTATTTCGTTTTCCATATCTTTTTTCGAAAATATCACTTTGGTTTGAGCGGCCTCATAACCTTAATTAGTTTCTTCCCCATGTGAAAATCACAATCAAACTTTGCATTATGATGTTGCTCATTAAGATATCTTGGTATCGAAATTATTATACTTTTCAACAAGCGATCTCTTGATCTAAACATTGGTCGGATAAAGTTAGAGCAATTCTCAAAGAAAAAAAGAGTGAATAACAGATTTCGATATCATATCATCAAGTCTAGCTGATTGTTCAAAACTGTTGTATATTTTTAATTTAAAACAGTCAGGTATCATGAGCTACAATTCAAAACTCTAGAAATAGTTTTCCAATAGGTGGGTTGTGAAGATTTGGGTATTCACAGATTACTGTTTGCTTAGAACTCTGCATTTCTTATAAGAACATGAGGGTATTTATGGCACATTATAAAATTATAATAAATTCACGTCAAAAAATTATTTAAACAAAGATATTTATTAAGAATGCATTATCATCAGCTGACACTAAAGACTAGATCCAGTACAATATAAGTAATTGCTAACTTTGTACGTATGACACATTTCGAACCGATATCACCAAGTTTGCTGAATAATCGGATTTAGTAATGCAACAACGAATAAGGAAGCATAATTTGATACTAAAAAGCTCAAATTTACAACCAAATTAAAAGATTGTAATGAACAAAGATGATTGCAGATAATTATTGATAATTTTCAGGTAGCCCATAGAATAATTTGAGATACAAAATTTAACCCAAAAATAATTTGACCAAAACACAAGACATATTGTGCATATATAATTTTTTTATTTTGGTTGAGAGATCATTTTTCAATGCTTTTTTCAAGAAAAATTAAAATTAAATAATAATTCATCCAGAAACATGGTTAACTATTCGAATGTGGTACAAGTTGGCTTTGCTATGCTTGCTATTATAGCTGTTGGCTTCGTATTATCCAAACTAAAGATTCTTTCACCAAAAGATTCAGCAGCTATGAATGCGATCGTTTTCTGGATCGGATTTTTCCCGCTATTATTTAGAGGCATTGCTTCGAAGAAGCTAAAGGAACTCGATTTTAATCCGTTTGCCATTGCCGCGCTAATGTCAATCACAACATACGTTGTTCTTACATTACTAATGATATACCCATTCAAGAATCGCTTCAAAACGTATCTTGCAACAGTATTTCCCACTTGTTATATCAATTACGTCATTTCTGGAGTTCCAGTTTTTAATGCCTTGTGGCCACCAAACGAAAACGTCCTCATCTCAATGATGATGATGTCAAACGATATGATTACATCACCAATATACTTCCTTTTAATAGGTATTTACAACGTTATTGAAACCAACAAAAGATTGGTTGCAGAAGGATTTCCAAAAGAGCGTTTTTCAATTAAAGTTCTCGGAAAAATACTTCTTACTGTCATAAATATAGATCCAAGGTGATGTGATTTTTGCATCCCTGGGATGGACGATACACCCAAAGTGTCACCTTTTTGGGATAACATGAATTTTAAATATCATGAGAGTTCTGCAAACCATATGCACAATATCTATTCAGCCTGACTTCTTGTATATATGAGTTAGACTTCTTAAATATTGTGCTTGGGGCGATATAAGCATTTCCGAGATTACCATCGTGCTCTATAGTATGCTACTTCTCCCTGGTTCTAGCTCAGTTCCAAGGATATTGGCGTTCAAGGATTTGGCAAGGTCCTTCCGAAGTCTCTCATTCGATGAGAGATTTCGGAAGAATCTTGCCTTAAAGTACTCCAACTCTTGTTCTTTTGTTCCTAAATAGTGAGAAAAGTTATTTGACTACTTAAGGTAGAGATTATCCGAGGTCCCTCATTTGATGAGAGGCCTCGGATAATCTCTGCCTTAAAATTGTACACTTGTAGTCCATGAGAGTGTAAGTATACATTGATAGGACAGCTTTCTTCTGAAGTCTTAGATTTGATGAGAACCTCAGAAGAAAACTGTCCTATTTTATAGTAAAAGGAGTTTCAGGAGCTCCAAAGCTCCCTTTCGTAAGGATTAGGAGCTTTGGAGCTCCTGGTTCGTAGATGTGTTTCGCATCTTTCATCAGCAAAGGACATTTACCATCTGGGACTATGTTGATGGAGACTCAGGAGCTCCAAAGCTCCCTTTAGTAAGGATTAGAAGCTTTGAAGCTCCTGGTTCGTAGACGTGTTTCGCATCTTTCATCAGAAGAGGCCCAAATGGTAAATAGCATCTGCTGATGAGCTTCAGGAGCTCCAAGGCTCCCCCTCGTAACGATTAGGAGCTTTGTAGCTCCTGAAGGTAAGGTAGGATTGCTCTGATCTCTAATCAGTAGATGCCATGCCTCATTATGAACTCTACTGACAAGAGATCAAGAGCTCCAAGGACTCCCTTTTTAGTTAGTGGCGTTCTCACCATTTAGTAGGATTGCTGATCCTACTAATGAAGTGATCACTTAGTATACGTTTTGAATAAATTGAATTTTTTTTTAGAATTTAGTATTTTTTATAGACATCACATGTATATTATAAATACATAAATATATTCTTTAATTCAAAAAATTCAATTCGGTTTTGGGATGGGTATCCCAGCCCCAAGTATTCAATTTTATTCAATTTTTTAAGAATTTTGGGTTGGGATGCCCAGACCAAAACAAGCTTTATATTTTGATGTGTAGATACGTATGTGTGCATCATTGTTGTGTTATATATTATGTTTTTAAAGAAAAAAATCTGATTCAAAAAAAATTATCACTAATTAGTTGATAATATAAAGAAAAAATAGATAAATTGTATGTTTTGAGAGTATTTATCCACATTCACTCATATGAATTCATTAAATAGTGTCTTTTTACTCCCAAATTTATTTTGAATTATTGAAATCAAAGAAAAAAATCAAAAAAAATTTCTCGAAATTTTTATTTTCAAAAAAAATTTGGATTTTATATTGAAAACTGACACTGGGAGGACGATAGGGCTGGGATTGGAGATACCCCGCTCACTTGGGAAAAATACGGATCTATAAGTCATAAAGAGTCCAATTCTCATTGGTATTATTTGCGGAATCATTTATTCAGCTACAGGAATACCATTTCCGATATTCCTTGACCAGATAATGATGCATGCAGCTAATATGGTCTTTGCGCTTGCTTTAATCTGCGTTGGTGTATTTCTTGCAAATCATTCGCTTGTTTCATGTGGATGGGTACAATTTATCTTCTGCATGGTAGTAAGAATCCTCATTGGACCATTCTTTGCACTCCTATGGTGCATGGCCTTGAAATTACCACCAAGAGTCGCAAGACAGTGCGTAATCATTGGCTCACAGCCAACTGCTGTTGCTACATTTGCAGTAACAAGTAGTGTACACATAGGCGAAGGTGTTGCTTCAACAATGATTTTCTGGACAACAGTTTTAGTTGTTCCAACAATTATCATATGGTTTTCAATCATGGACGGATTGAAGATCTTTGTAGAGTAGTTTTATTTGTTGTTATTATTATATCATAGAGTTTTTATTTCATTCTATCTAAAATGTATATATATTATTTTTAATAACACACCTTTTCTTTCTTATATTGATGTATGATAACTACACTTACACCAAAAATTGCATATGAGAAGTAATTTGAATAGAAACAAAGTTATTTGAAATTTTGAATTATATCTCTAAGTTAAAGAACAAATGAATAAAAGAATCATACAGTTTTATCTATGGTCTTGATAATTCAAGACAAAATATTAACGGACAAGTAATCGAATAACAGAGTTTCAACACAAATAATTCATAAGAATCTCATGTTGCGATTGAAATTTATAACCGATAGGAAACATTTCTATTGGTAATTACGTGATGTAGATTATTGTTCCAATCGATGAATACAGTGAGAATGTTGAAGGAATCCTCTCTTTATAGGAGTTGTATTATGCACAATAATAATGTATATGCAATTTTTATCCTAGAGACAAGTACACAATAAATAATGTGAAGAAAATATCAAAATTGTGTCCAACTTTCAATGGAATTGAACATTTAACTTTGTAAGGTATGGCAGTAATTCGAGAGAAATATGGATAATCATATTTTTTAGCTGTGGAAATGATTACGTGTCCATTTCCTATATGACCATACTCTGGAATTGATACGTTAAGATTCGGGGCCGGCATAGGACTATTTCCATCAATCATCACTGGATTCTCAAATTTTATTCCCGAATAATGGATCGAAGGATCTTCTGCAGTAGAAAATTTAGGATTATTCTGAGTATAATCTTTATCAACAGAAATACATCCTGTGTAACCGCTTATGTATGAACTTCCGCCGCCCGCTGTGCCTACTTGAATAAATTTTGAAGATCCTCCTCCAAAATAGCCCCCGCCCCCCCTGCATTTCCATCAGGGGTGGTGGCAGTGTACAATCTTTCTCCATTTCCACCTCCTAGACCAAAAAATCCCTTATAATAACCATTACCTCCAGAAGTTTGGTTTCCTCCCTTTCCATCGCCATCAAAACCTTTCAAACTGCCACCAGAACCATCCGGAGATCCATCAAAATTGTATCCCCCACCACCAGCGACCACCATAATTCGGCTTTTCAATCCATCTACATCAAAATATGGTCCTGGATTCAATCTCACATCGGAGGCACCGCCTCCTCCAACTTGTCCTGGGCCACCGCCACCGTAAGCGGCTTGAGGCTGTGGTTGACCGCCTTTTGCTCCAACATGAACATATATGGTTAAATTTCTGTCGAGTGATAAAATGCCACTAGTATAGCTGCCACGGCCGTAAAATTTATCATAATAACATTTACCGCTAGCACCCCAGCACTCAATTTTCCATTTTCCAGCAGTTAAATTTATCTCATAAGGGGCAAAAACAGAATTGTTGATACCATTATAAGCTAAGTCATATACAACCCCATTCTGATACAATTTATAGGCAAGATAGAGAATTCATAATCATCATATTTGCGTGAGTTTTGCTATGAAAGGAGGCTAGATCAGAGCTAAATTTTCTCGTTTCCTTTAATTTTTTTTCTTTAGCTTCTCTTTCATTCTCAATATCAAATTTCAACATTAAAAGGTAATAATAGTCAAGCCATTATAATAAGCAAATTTAGTTGCAACATGAATATGCTTAGGAAAAATTAGCATCATTCATCTAATATGAATGAAATTGGATCTGAATAATTTTAAGATTATGACTATAAATCAAAGAACATGAGAAAAAAATATATCGAATTACGAACATTAATAATAATGTTTTAGGAATTAGCGAATTTACATTTCGCCACCATCTTCTTCTTCATCGCCACCTTCGACTGATTCAGCAGCGACTTCGTCGTAGTCCTTCTCGAGGAGGGCAAGATCTTCACGAGCTTCTGGGAATTCAGCTTCTTCCATACCCTCACCGACGTACCAGTGGACGAAAGCACGCTTAGCGTACATGAGGTCGAACTTGTGGTCGAGGCGAGACCAAGCTTCGGCGATGGCTGTTGTGTTAGCGAGCATGCAGACAGCGCGCTGGACCTTTGCGAGGTCGCCACCTGGAACGACTGTTGGTGGCTGGTAGTTGATACCCATCTTGAAGCCTGTTGGGCACCAGTCGACGAACTGGATTGTGCGCTTTGTCTTGATTGTAGCGACAGCAGCGGAGACATCCTTTGGAACGACATCACCACGGTAAAGGAGTGTGCAAGCCATGTACTTGCCGTGGCGTGGGTCGCACTTAACCATCATGTTGGCTGGCTCGAAGAGTGAGTTTGTGATTTCGGCAACAGAGAGCTGCTCGTGGTAGGCCTTCTCTGCAGAAATGACTGGAGCATAGGAGCAGATTGGGAAGTGGATACGAGCGTATGGGACAAGGTTTGTCTGGAACTCTGTGAAGTCGACGTTGAGGGCACCATCGAATCTGAGGGAGGCTGTGAGGGAGGAAACAACCTGGCCGATGAGACGGTTGAGGTTGGTGTATGTTGGGCGCTCGATATCGAGGGCACGGCGGCAGAGATCGTAGAGAGCTTCGTTATCGACCATGAAAGCGCAGTCGGAGTGATCGATCATGGAGTGTGTAGCGAGAATGGAGTTGTATGGCTCGACGATGGCTGTGGAAACCTGTGGAGATGGGTAGACTGTGAATTCGAGCTTGGACTTCTTGCCGTAGTCGACAGAAAGACGCTCGAGAAGGAGGGAGCCGAAGCCAGCGCCTGTGCCACCACCGAAGGAGTGGAAGATAAGGAAGCCCTGAAGACCTGTGCACTGATCAGCAAGCTTACGGATGCGGTCGAGTGTGAGATCGATGATTTCCTTACCAACTGTGTAGTGGCCACGCGCGTAGTTGTTAGCGGCATCTTCCTTGCCGGAGATGAGCTGCTCTGGGTGGAAAAGCTGGCGGTATGTGCCTGTGCGGACTTCGTCGACGACTGTTGGTTCAAGATCGACGAAAACAGCACGTGGAACGTGCTTGCCGGCGCCTGTCTCGGAGAAGAATGTGTTAAAAGCATCATCTTCGACACCGATTGTCTTGTCTGATGGGAGCTGGCCATCTGGCTGGATACCGTGCTCAAGGCAGTAGAGTTCCCAGCAGCCGTTACCAATCTGAACACCGGCCTGTCCAACGTGGATAGAAATAACTTCACGCATTGATGAAGAGTGACACTTTTTAGAAAAAAGAAACGGATTTTTATTAATAACGTATTTGGAAAATCAAACAGACATCCTCTATTTTTGAAAAAGATAAAATAAGTCATGTTTATTCCTCTATAGATAACATGAAAGATTTATTAGTTTACAATTAATGACGAAACTCGTAAACTATTCAATAATTTACACTCTGGAGTTTAGCTTTGATTCCTTATAAAGGTAATGCTACTTCATAATAAACGATTGTTATACACCATATCGAAAACAGTATTTCAATAGGTAATGCAATTTTTTTTTGATGAGATTTATTGAGATTGTCTTTATAGTAAAAGGAATAAAAATTACTATTGATTACTCGTAGTTAATACATAGGTAATGCGCTTTTGGCTATTTCGTATATATTATACAAAAATATTCAATAATTAAAAGAATTTTACTATCCTATGAATAGGAGTGGCCATGTATATACTATTTATGATGATCTCATTCATACTATATTGAAATGTAATCAGAATTAGCCGATATTTTATCTTGTATTCGTGTATATATCGCAAATATATTCGTCATCAGGCTTATTTGTATAGTGTTTGTATTGCCATCTATGATGTATTGAAATGTTTTCATTTTTCATTAAAAAAAAATTATCAAATTGTCATCCCGACGCAAGCAGATGCAAGTTGTCGAATCAACTCTGTACAAATCGAAACAATGTATTAAAGATTATTGGATTCAAGATGATATTGGAAATTTTGGTTGCAAACAAAATCGTGCGATTAGTAAAATATCAATACCTTCTAAGGCCAATGATTAAAATAGAAAATCATTTGACATGAAACATGATCATCTTTGGTCACTTCTCAATTCTTTCCGATTGATTTTACGGAGTTTTCATTCAACGCAAATATATCAAATAGTCAATTGCGATTAAGTAGCATTTTGCAGAAATTTATTTTAAATGAAGATATTGAGAAAGTTATCGTTACATGCTAAAGCTCACAATTATATTACAACAATATTGAATTTTTCCCTTTTTGATGAAAGTTACGAGGGCAATTTTTAAATTTAAATCTACTATAGGGCATTTATCAGTTCGTATTCGATGACCAGCATTCAATTTTATAATCTCATTCAATTTGCAAAAACAACTAACAAAAGTTCTTCCGCAATGATTTAATATTATTTTATTACTCTTAGACTACTTGATAATACTTTATTAGAAATTACGGGCAAATTGAGAAGAAAAATCAAAAAGATATTATTGCAATTTACATCCATGGTTATAATTTTGCTATTTTTTTGATCAAGCGATAATTTTTTTTAAAAAGGTTGATTCAAAATAAAACTGTTAAATGTCTAAAAAGGAGATCGGCAATTACACTATCGAGAGAGAACTCGATCAAGGAGGGTTTTCGAAGGTGTATCTTGCCCGCCACAATGTGATAGGCGAAAATGTAGCAATTAAAAGAATTCGAAAAGAAAATTATGAGAAAGATAAAATCATAAGAGAAGTCAAATTAATGCAATCATTAGATCACCCATTTACAGTTCAATTTTTTGAATTCATGGAAGATGATAATTACTATTATATTGTCATGGAATATGTTAGAGGAACAACATTATTAGACCTAGTTAACCACTCAGGAAAAATACCTGAGTGGAAAATACGCCACATATTTGTGGAATTAATCTCCACGCTTCAGTATCTTCACGAAGACCTTAAAATGGCACATAGAGATATTAAATTAGAAAATATCATTTTTGACACCTATGGAAATATAAGGCTTATAGACTTTGGACTTGGAAACACATTTCAACAGACAGATGGCATTTTGCAGACAGCATGTGGATCACCTGCATATGCTCCACCAGAAATGTTCCTTAGAAGGCCTTACACCAATGCTGCAGATATTTGGAGCGCAGGATGTGTGATTTATGCCCTTGCAACCAATACTCTTCCGTTTGATGAGACAAATGCAAAACTACTTGCCTCAAAGATCGTTTATCAAAATCCAACATATCCAGAAGAGTTAAAACCATCTCTTGTTGAGCTTATTTCCAACTGCTTAAATAAGGATTCTTCAATGCGTCCTTTACCACAAGATATTTACAAATACGAATGGGTTAGCGTATATCCAAACTCACAATTATTCTCTCCAGAGTTCGGTATTGCCGAAGGATGGAGAAATCCAACAGGAAATCCACTCGTCGATGAAACAGTCGTTGAAGAGCTAAATCATTACGGTCTTGACTCATCGAAAGCTGTCGATGATTACTTAAATGGCAATTTCACTGCAGATGCTGCCGGATATAGAATTCTTAAACGTCAGAAAGTTACTTTCCAAATGGAAAGACTTTACGAAGAAGCAGATATATCAATGAAAGCTACAATACATAGAAAACAACATTTATCACTTACACCGAACGTTTTGACTCCAATTCGTCGTCCATCGCCAAATACAAGAAATAAATTCAGCTTCGGAAAAGCAATGAATCCGGTTACAGGAGTTTCGAAATTCTCAGCTACTGTGAAGCTTTCTAATAGAATGAACTCCATGAAACCGAAAATTCTTGCTTTATCTCAATTACCAGCTCAATCACCTCAATGAGTTGCTTAATATATTCTGTTGTTGTTTTATTTCGTTTTTCACCTATATAAATTGTATGATCAAGAAATCTTACTTTCATATTTTTTTGAAATATCTTCAGATAACTTAATTTCATGCAATTTCATATTCTATTCATCATTCATATTCTGACACATGAAGATTGATCGCTAAAACATATGAAAAATTGAATTCATTATCCAAGACATTACTTTGTAGCGAATGGATCATCTATTTATATTTTCGGTGATTATTTATATATTACAATGGTAATAGCTAACAAAAAAGCAATAGTATTTCATTTCGTTTGTTCTAATAATCTACCGAAAACAAGATTTTTAATATATACTCAAATCTCTCAGAACTTTTACAACTAAACCTGTGCAGATCTACCTACTAATTCCAATATTGTAAATAACGATTTCCTCATCTAATGGTTTTTGAGCGCTTTGAATTCATAACATCCATAATATAGCTCAGGCAATGGTAAACTCTAGATTTATTACTCATTTTTAAATTTTGTTTCTTTGATGAATGGACATTTTTTTCATGTGAAACGAACTCGAATTAAAGATACTATTGACACACAACAAAATGATGAATTAAATGAAGTTAACCAACTAAAATTTCAAATTCAAGAAGCAGAGAAAGAGATAGAATTTAAAAATCAACTATTTACTCAAAAATTTGAAACAATAAATAAATTAATCAGAGAAAAAGAGGCAAATCTACAAAACCTTCAACTTAATTCTCTTCAAAGAGCTGATAACGAATTATTAAATAATAATAAACGAATAAAAGAAATTTTAGAAGACACGCAAACTATTACACAAAGTACACGTGAAATACACGATACTATCGATAGAAATATCAGAATTTACCAAAAATATCTCGATGATTCTCAATATTTGATGAAAATTTTACCAAATGAGACAGAATCAGTTTATGATTTTGCAGTAAAAATGCTTTATTTTAAATTTTCTCGTACTGCTGAGCAAAAAGAAGAAGAATTAAATGAAATTCAATTTGAGATCTCTGATTTGGAGGATGAGAAACAAGCAGTAACAGGAATAATCAGCCAACTTAGTTCAGAAAATTCAGAATTTGAAAATGAAATTGCTCAATTAAAAGTACAAATCACACAATTCCAAAATTCTATTGCATCTGATAAAGCAACACAAGATCAACTAAAAGCATCTAATGCACAACCGCTCATGGAACTCAAGCGGCAGATTTCTCTTATCAGAAAAGAGAATAAAAAGAATTTGAAAGATGAAGACAAAAAAAACTATAAAATTTATCAGGATGTTAAGAAGGAATCAGAATCAAATAGAAAGAATCTAAATACTATTAGAGCGCAAAGACAAAAACTTCAAAATCAGATAGACAAATTAAATCAAGACATAAACAATGAACGAACGGCAAGAATCAACCAGCTCAAACTTTCCTCGCTGAATATTTTTTAAATATAATAAAAATTTGTTTGTATTTTTCGAATAGTGCTAAGTTTTTTTTTATTCATAAATTCTATACAATGATAAACATTAGCATTTCCCCATGAATTCAGAAAAATGGATTGTAATATTGATGCTAGAACTATGTAAGAAGAAATATATTGATTTCTTAAGGCGGATTAAATGTGGCAAGATGAAGGGAAGTTATTCCAAAAAATATTTTTTATTTATTTCTTCTCAATGTAAAACTAGAAGTCACATTATTTTCTACCGCAATATGTATATGGTTTTCATATGCCTATTCTTTAAATTTACTGTTTGCATCATAATAGAGGATAAGTTTAGGTGTATCGATGTTTCCAAAGACTACTGCACAATGAAGAGAAGTTTTCTTCTTATTTTACACTTTTCTTTACCAAAAAAAGTTTTACAATTAGCACCATAGTTGAATTTATCTTTTATTCCTTTATCTGCACCATGTGAAAGTAAAGTCAATACATTATTATATCTCCATCATCCATCACATCATCTACACCAATATTGAATCAAAAAAGAATTATACATAAGGTATATAATAGTTTTTAAATTACGATTTTTTGATAAAAAAACTATTCAATAAAAATTGAATAATTATTTCTGGCAGTGATGACACTTAATTCCATCGATATGTCTCTCTTGTTGAGAAACACGTACGTATTCAACGTAGTAGTGCATTGGAAGTGTCTTGTCATCAATTGTTCCACCAAAAGCTCCCATTGCAAGGTTAATAATCAAATACTGTGGTGTTAAGAATGGATACTTCACCTTTGATGCCGGGCTCTTGTTTTCTCCACGAGTAACTAACATACAGTTAATAAGTTCATCATCCCAGTACAATTTGATAGCCTCTTCATCCCAATCCATTCTCCAAACATGGAACAAGTTTGTCCAGTTGCCAGTATAGTGGTCTCTCCAATAAGAAAGTGGTGTCAAAATTGCATCTCCTGCAGTACCAGTTTCAGAAGCCCAGAAGTTGTTTGCAAGTGTATCACCAGTGTAGTACTCCATGAGATCAATTTCGCCACAAGAAGGCCACTGTCCATTTGTATCTTGATATCCTAAGAACCAAATAGCAGGCCATGCGCCAGACATTACAGGAATCTGAGCTTTGACTTCAAATCTGCCAAATAACCAGTCGCGCTTGTCGATTGTAGAAATTGATCCTGATGTATAGTTAACCCACTCATTCTTGTAGCGCCAATCTGTGGAACCTGGTTTATACCATGGATTCTTGAAGTCTTCGCGACGGCCTTCGATTTGTAACTTGCCACCTTCAAGGATTTTAGTATTATTTTCCTGATACCATTCAGCTGATCCTGGATTTCTAACATAACCATATTCACTAGTCCAATCATCCTCATTGAACTTTCCAGAAACGTTGAATTCATCGGCCCAAATTTGTTTGTAAGTTGTTTCATTTTGCTTCTTAATTTCGACTTGTTTGAGTTCTTCTCTTGTTGCTGCAACAATTTGCCAACATGAAGCAGAATGAAAAGACCTTTCTTCCTAAGTAACCATAAAGTGCCAATTTTCTTGTGCATGAACTGGCTTTCCACCGTCTTGAACAATGAGATATGTATTTTCTTGGTAAAATGGAATAACTTCATAAAGCATTGGTGAATCTGTGTGTACTGTTGATGTCCAACCATTTGAAGAGGTCATATACATTCCGGTAGCTTCATTACGGATCTTGTAAAACTCTTTACCATTCTTATAGACTAATTCGAAGTGCCATAAGACATTTGGATCCATTGTCTTATCTTGCCAACGCAATGTTGCTCCACCAACAGGTTTTGTGTTATATATAACTGATCCACATGGCGATGTTAGGAAGTACCATGATGAATTTTTGAAGAAAATTCTGTCAATTTTTTCTGTTGGCGCTCTCAATTTACCAAAATAACATCAATTGTATAATATTTACTGTTCAGCGAAATTTCGAGATTTTATTCGATTATCGTCAAATCGATGAAATTTTAAAATATCACTATAAAAAGGTTATATCATAGAAAACGCACATATTTTTACAAAAATTACATTCTAATGCTCAATTTGTAAAATGTCATTTTAATCTTTTATCAACAAAAAACAAAATGCAACTAAAATCCATTAACAGTTTCTACAAGATATTTTAAATCTTTGTTTGGAATTGTGTAGTTTGAGGTTCAAGAGATTTTTGATATTTTTTTCCATTTCTACAATTTACTATAGTTTATTGAGGATGTTTTCAATAGGTAACCTCAACGATGCATAAGTTTTATACAGATTGTATATTTTGAAGGACTTCTATAATATACGGAAGAAATCTCTAGATAACAAATACACTGCGATCATTTCCACATAGAGATAGATCTCTTCACCCATAAGACCTATGTTACCATATGAATATGTGATATCAGCCATTTTAAATCAAAATCTATTGAACAACAAAAGGATATTTACATATCATGCTAAAGGTATCATTAAAAGCAGTTCTCTTTGACTCATATCTTTCATGATGAATCAAATCGATGAAAACTTATAAAAATTGCATAAATCAAACATAGAATATATAGCAATATATCACATATCTGCATGCTTTGTGAAATTAGCACCCAATTTTTTTTTTGAAATGGTTGAATTGAATCCACCTTCGACTAGTTTAGTTGTGGAATTGTCAGTAATTGAATTAGTCAAATCAGCTCAATATGAAGAAGCCCTGAGAGTAATTCACTCAGAAAATTTCGAAATGACTCCTTTGTTAATACAAAATGAAGCAAAATGTTATCTAAAAACAAATAAAGTTACAAAGGCACTAGAAAGTCTTAAAAGGGCAGAAGAAAAAGGATGGCTTCTCCCTGATATTTTAATGTTAAAAGGGCAATGCTTATATAAATTACAAGAATGGGAAACATCACTTATAGCATTCGAAGCTGCTGATAAGATAGCGTCTACGGCAGAGACAAAACAATGGATAACTCGCTGTCAAGCCCATATTGAAGTTGAAAATTCACCAAACGCACCAAATGTTTTCAATTTTCAGCCACCGATTATATCAGATGTAAAGAAGGAATGGTATCAAAATGCGCAAATAGTTACAATTCGATTATTCATCAAAGATGTTAAAGAAAAAGAATTGAAAGTTAGCTTTTTACCAAATTCTGTAAATGTTTACATTACTAGACAAAGACCAATATCATATCACTTGAATTTACCTCATGAAATCAATACTTCAGAAAGTTACTTCGTCCTAAACAGTTCTTCCATTGAATTAAAGATGGAGAAGGTACAACACATCACATGGGAAAACTGTGAAGTTTAACTTACAAAATTTTTCAAATTTATCATATTATAATTAGAATTCATGATTAATGAATCAATTGCAAGTATATTCAGCTGAGTTACTGTTTGAGAAATCAAAATTTAATGATTTTCATGAAAAGATAAAGATTTTTCATGATAATTTCAAAATAATAAGAAAAAAGCACACATATAACATTCAAACTACATACCACTTAATACCAAAGTTCTACTTTTCATTAATTTCGAATTTTTCATTTTATCATTTTAATTTTAAGTATTTTCTATATCAATCATGATCATAGTATCTATATATCTATTACTTCTCTTAGTTTCTTTTGTTTGTAAAATATTATTTTTTTTTCTAACTTATATAATTAATTTTTCAATCACATTATGATTCATTTGTTATTAAAATCATGCAAATATACTCTCATTCAATTACAAATAGATATAAAAACTTTAATCAAGAAATTTAGATGTAGATTATAGAGATCTCACTAAATTTTGATTCAAAATCGAAACATTATGGAAAGTACAACATTTTAATGACCACACCAAAGATTTCTAACTGAAGACGTTTTCAATAAAAAAATGGAAAGTGATGAATTTATCAACCTAAAAATACCAATAAAGAAAGCAAAAAGCTTCTCAACAGTATCTATTCCAGAATTTGCACAAATTCCATACCAATTACAGACAAAACTCGATGAAATAAATGAATCAAATATCGATTCCATCGTAGAGTTTATCATATCAAACTATAAAAAGAACGAATTACAGATCGCTATTGATGAAATTTTATTCTTTTCCAACTTAAAACAAAAAAGAAACAACCTTTACGGTGAATTATTAATTAGAATAGGCAGATCTCTCGATAAACATATTGATCCAGTTATAATTGGCAAAGAAAATGGGTTTGTTGTTAGATATATGTACGATCAAGGCTACTATACCCTTAAACAAATCAAAAACGCATGTGAGAATTGTATGATCATCAAAAATAAGCAGATTTATCTACCATTATACCTATTTTTTGCACACGAATTTGGTTTATACGAGAAAGATGCCCACTATTATGGATTCTCTTCTAAATATTTTGAAAAATTAAAGGAAGATGATTATTATTTACTGGACGAGATACTTAAAAACGGCTATGAAACGAATTCTCTTACTTACTGCATCATGAAAGATGACCTTGTTAAGTTCAAACAGTTCATTGAAGCAGGAATTGAAAAAGATGACACAATTGTATTAAATACATTCGAAGGATTATACAGAGATTACGAATTATACCTTGCCGATGCCGCTGGCTACTTCGGTGCCAAGAACATCCTTAATTATCTCTTTTCTCTCAAAGTTCGACCAGATGATGACATAATTCGATGGTCAATCATCGGAAGACACACGGAAATCATTGATTTTCTTGTCGAAAAGGAAGCCGAATTCGATGGCGCAATGAAATACGCATTGCAAACATATGATGTCGAAATTTGTGACAAAATTTTGAAATTAGATAAGAAACCAATATCATTATTAGATGTTTCACAGACAGGATTCATTTCTGGAGCAATATATGTACTCGGAAACACAGAAATTCCAGGAAAAATCGATGGAGAAAATGTTCATAATTCATTAGTTAATCATCATCGACTTTTGTCTTCAATTTTATTGGAAGAAGATGCAGACATAACATTTAAGACTAAACAAGGTCGTACACTTCTTCATGATGCAGTAGAAAACGGGTATTACGAAGTTATTACTAAATTAAGTACAATGCTATGTGATTTTCTTGTTCCTGACAACCAAGAAACATTTCCTCTTCATTTGGCAGCTGCTTCTGGAAATATTGATGTTTTGAAGTTCATTTTCAACAATTCAAGGGAAGTGTTGAATAAGACAGACGCTGTTTTCGGAATTCCTTTGCATTACGCGTGCAGATACAACTTCTATGACGGAGTTGTTTTTCTTGTGAATTCAGGCGCAGAAGTAAACAAAGAAGGAAGAGATGGATACACTCCACTCCACATTGCTTCAAAGAGGAATAACGAGAAAATTGTTTTGTTCTTGAAAGAACACGGTGCTGAAATGACTAAGAAGAGTGAGAAAGGTCACAAAGCAAAGAAAATATCTCATTCAACTTTAGTCAGAGGAATGTTTAACTAAAATATTGTTATTTTTATTCAAATTTATTTCTTTACTATATTATTATTCGCTTAATTTGAAACTGCTTATTAATAAATCAATACCATATGTTTTGAAGTAAAACAATAAATTTAGATAATTAATAATTTGATTTTTAATTAATTTGAGTGAATAATAGTTGAGATTTAACACCCTTACTCATGCCTATAATGACAGGTGTTAAATATTCAGTAGCATTTTATAAACATTCAATGACAGCAATATTGCTTTTATTAGAGGTGAATTTACATAATATATGCCTCTTACACTAGAATCTACATATTCTAACACTCCCCTACAGTTAGTGCACAATTTGACGTTACTATCTAGACTTGGTTTTTGTATATGAACAGAAGAGTTATCAAAGATGCAATTAGATTTACTTATGCTTCATTTTAAAAGAAATTATAGATTGTGGATCATGGTTTTTTTATGGAGGAATGATTTATTGATTTCTATATAATTTTTTTTTCTCATAACTGTAAGTGAAAAAAATTCATTATGACAATTATTGAAATTTTATTTTATTGAAGCAATCATATGGAAATGAAAGTGAAATATAGTTGGTACAATAGCAAAATTACCACGAATAATTTGTTTACCTTCTTCTCCATATATAACATTGATTCTCAGTAAATACATTTGCAGGAGAATAATTGAATTCATAAATGCATTCGTAAACAATATGATTGATATCAATGTAGAATGCTGTTATTTTGATATTATATTTTCCTCTTGGTAGGTTTTCAGGTATTGATAACACAACAGAGAATCTTCTTGTTAATTTGTTTGGATTTTGGATGATGATTGATACCCCTCAAGTGATGAATTTAACTGAATTGAGTAACTTTTCTGTAAAAATTTAATTTCACCAACTAATGTAACACTTGATTTGACATGATATTCCTTAATTACTGAAATAGTTAAATATGGATGTAATGTGAATTTGTCTGATGTAGTATTTGTTTCTGTTTGATTTGAATCATATAATCTGGCATAAATTGAATGGGATCCTAATGAAAGATGATGGACATCGAGCTCAATTGGTATAGATTTTGTATTAGGATCAATAACTCTAGTCATTTCTTGTTTGCTATTGGTCTCACTGTCAATCCAAATATTTAATTTAACCTGCTGTGTGTTGCTGTTATCATTTGAAAGAATAAATAAATCGGCAGTAATTTTTGATTCATTATTTTTGAAAATGATGTTATTTTGAATTTTGATGCTAATGAATAACTTAAACATTAAAAAGCATTGGTTGTATTCAATATCATTGAATGAAAATTCAGATTCTTGTCTCGATAAAATATCGACTGTTCCTGAAGTTAAATTAATATAATTGTTATTATGAATGAAACATGATGTAATTGTAATTTTTGAAGTGGTGTAAAATAAAAAATATCCTTCATTATTAATAATTGTGCAATTATCAATTGAAAGATTGTATTCCCAATAACAACCGAAAAAGATTATTGAATTTTCAGATGAAATTGACATATTGCATCTATTTCCATTAATAATTAGATGGTGAAGATTGAAACCACCATTTCTATATTTAAAACATTTTTCTTGAGATGTATTATTTATGAATGATGAAAAGGAAATGTTATTCTTTTTTGATGTACCATAAGTAAAATAAGCAGAACAAGCTGTAGTTGATAATGAATGTGATATATTAACATATTTAATCAAAACATAACCAACAATTAGACCTATTGGAGGCCCCTTCCCATTCGATTGAGTAATTGTTGTTTCATTCATGTAATTTATGCAACTATCATAAGAAGGATATATATGCATACGGATAGTCATATTTATAGAGCGATGGTTGAACAACACAAATTCGATATTGAACGCAATCCCCACGTTCATAGTGAATGCATCCACCTCTTTCTGAATTAATATATGTAGGATTGTTTGAATCAAATATTGTATTATAAACAAGAAGCTTTTTCTTATTAGAACCAATTGTTATAATAATAATTTGCGCATGTAAATTTTTAAAGAAAACATCGTGAATAAAAAAATTTTTGCCGTACCCATATACTCCTTCACTTTTGGTGTGTTCAAAAAACAAAAATCCCGGAAAGAATTGATCCCAAGTATCATTTGGATATGATAAATGAGAAAACATATTAAAATGAACATGTTGAGCCATTGAAGAATTGAATTTAAAATTTTCCTGATGTAGGATGGTAATTGTAATTAAAGCACTTATAATGCAAACAATTTAGATAAAGATAAGCCAAATGCAAAAGCATTGGCATAATTTGACACATCCCTTATATGTTTTTCTTTTCTTTGACGTTAAAGATTGAGAAGAGAGCTTTGTATTGATGTTATTCGTGTTTAGAAGTACCCTCAATTTTTGACTTTTGCAACTTTTTCATGACCCCCTACTCAGGTATCTAAAATACCATTTATCGCCTGAAAAGCACCCTTAATTTATGCCAATTGACAAAATAAAGATATGTTTAGAATGCTGATATGATGGAGAATCATGCTGCATCATTATTGGCCAGCAATATATAATATTTAAGAAATCTACGAGATTATCTGATTTCATGAAACTCAATGTATACTAAGTTTCAGACTTTGAAATTTTAACATGTTGATATGGGTACATAGGGTTTATGATTCCAGTCATTTATTTAAAAAATTACAAAAATGAATTAATATGATGTGAGTAACAATGGTAATAAACGCTTAATTACTAATATATTATTTCTTGGTAGGAATGAAATGTTTTGGTGACATTTATAGAAGTTAAGCTGAGAATCAAAAATGCAAAAATTATTTTAAATATTACAAGCATTATTTGATGTCATTGAGTTTAGAGTCGTGTAGATATATGAGTACAATATGTTATTGATGTATATATGCAATAATTGTGAAAATGAAATGTGAATCTCAAGATGAGTTGCATGTTACTGTGCTATAATTTGAATTCAATACATACATAACATTACTAAATGTATTTTAAGATAATACAAAAAATTAAGCTTGCAAAAAGATATCGAAATGTAATTTTCATTAGATTCAAAGTTCTGAATAGATTTTGATTTTAACTATTGATGAGTTTGTCAAACCTCTATAATAATAGAATGTAGAACTAATTAAATATAATTAATAAAAAAATACAAATTTAAGTGATATTATAAGAGATATATGTGATGTTACCAATATGATATGATATTGGAGAACTGATAGAATTGTGATGTGAGACTAAATATGATTTTATTATGAATAGGAGAATAATATTAGAAGAATTCCTTGAATTTAATGTATCTGAATATGTAATTGGGCATATATTCTATATATATATTGGTAGGTTAACTAGAAATAAGAAGATGAAAGATTGTTAATGAATAATATGAGATTAAGCGAAAATATATTGTTCTAATAGATGAGTGTTGAGATCCAATATATATGAAGAGGGATATGTGAGAGGAAATATGTATATTTAATAAAATAAGCGATGAGAGAAAAAATAACAAAGATTTATATGAAATTTTGAGTATTGAAAAAGTTCGATTAGTGATTTTATGTCTGTTAAAGGAATAGATATTCTAGGAGAAAGATAAATTGAATTAAAGAAGAATAAAAAAAGTTGATTAAGATTGATAAAAATATTGAATTGTATGACAATGGAAAGAAGGAATAAATTGGTGTTGGTATGACGGTATCATTTCGGGAGACATTGCCTCTGCATGTCTCCCAGAATGAGACAATCTTCTGCAATCAGAATGTGATTGCAAAACTTTGACCGACAAGAGTGTATTATGCACTCCTGTCGGTCGCAGTGTCTCATTCTGGGAGACATTGCCTCTGCATGTCTCCCAGAATGGAACAATGTTCCGCATTGATAACTTGAACGCGGAAGTTTGACCGACAAGAGTGCATTATCCAATCTTTTTTGTCATATACCTCAACCCATAAAGACAAAACCTTACATAAATTAGGTAAACTTTGGTTTTCACTTAATAATGTTTATTTTTAATTTTTTGTTCTTTATATAACTTTTTCTTCTACTAAACTATTTTACAGACTCTACTGAGCTATCCTCACATATATACCTGTGACAATAACACATATATACTCCCTTCATATTCTGATCTCATGACATATTACAGCACAAACTATAATTATACAACATACCTCATAAAGTCTGATTTTACCCCTATCTAAGCGTTCAAAACCTATTTTCCCCGCGTAATCTGATTCTTCTGGCTCTGCTGATTCGATTTCTGCTGTCAGATCGTGAAAATATGCATCACACAATGAGATAAACACAAAATACACAACTTAATATTTTCCTTAAAATTGTCAATTCCTCGCTCTTGACATATTTATTATTTCCTCCGTTTTCCCTCACAAATATATTTAATTTTCTGAATAAGACGTATAATAAAATGAATATCTTAAAAACTAAAATACAAAATTAATGTTGGGTAATGACTAGATATAGTATGCACTTTTGAATTCATACATTTTTTGAAAAAATTGTATTTTCAAAAAAAGATGTTGTTTCAGTATGAACTTGAAGAGAAATTTTAAGGAAGACTCTGCTGCAGGAGCCCCAAGGCTCCCAATCATTACAAAAGGGAGCCTCAGGGCTCCTGAGAATCCATCAGCAGAGGCCTTTTCATTTGGCCTCTGCTGATCAAAGATTCGGCGAAGCCATTCTTCGTCTCAGGAGCCCCAAGGCTCCCAATCATTACGAAAGGGAGCCTCAGGGCTCCTGAGAATCCATCAGCAGAGGCCTTTTCATTTGGCCTCTGCTGATCAAAGATTCGGCGAAGCCATTCTTCGTCTCAGGAGCCCCAAGGCTCCCAATCATTACGAAAGGGAGCCTCAGGGCTCCTGAGAAACCTCTTTGAGAAGGTTTTCTTAAAGAAAACCTTCTCAAAGATGATTGTCAGCATTCACTCAAAATCTACCAAGAGTTTCAAAGTTTCAAATCTATCTGAAATGAAGCTTTGAATCTCTTGTATATCTAATTGTAGAGGTACCTTTTCAAAATGTCTTCTATTGATTAAATTTAATCAGTAAAAGTCATTTTGAAAAGGTACATCTCTATAATTGCTATTGAGCATTCACTCTTGGAACCTTGGAGCTCTTGTGTAGTGCATGAAAACTCCAAGATTCTAGCATAAAACATATATCATAGACATAATTTCTTCAAATATAATTTAAGGTTATTTTTAAAAAATTAGAAAAGCGTAATTTAAGGTTATTGAAAAGTGACACTTGGCAAATTTGTCCCGCACTCATTTATTGGAAATTTTTTGAACAATAATAAGTAAATTTTATTAAAAATTGATATTCAACAGAGATTTGAATTATAGTCCAGATTTAAATAGGATCTTTAATTGATTTTATGATTATTTACAAATATGTTCGAAAATTCAGATTAAATCTTTCAATTATCAATGTATTTGGACTTACTGTCAATGCCCTAAGCTGGAAAACACAAGTTATAATTCACTAATATATACAATATAACCATCATTATGGAATTAATTTTAGATTTTTTATTTTATGAACAAAATTGTTATTTTTATATAAATGTTTATTCTTGGAATATTTATAAATGTTTCTATTTTTAAATAATCAAAATTAGATAGATTGCTTCCTGATTTTGACTCAGAAAATTTAGGTTTATTAAGCTTCAACTTGTTTATTAATAAAAAAGGGTCCAAAAACACGAATGGTTGGAAATTTATAAATAAAATTTATAAAACAAAAAAATAAAAATAATATTATAATGATTTTGGTTTCAAATGTGTATCATCCTGGCTAAGTTTGCTCTGTTCCGCCATTGCCATCTGTAAAATCTGTGGGTTGATACAAGATTTCCTTCTCGCGATTTGTGCAGCCTTCAAATTCGCTTCTGCGAGCTGTGCCATTCCAACAGAGTTGAATTGTGTCGCCTTGGCAGGAGAAGGCTTTGTTTCCTCCGCCTGGGCCTTCGCAGCTTCGATATCGTCAAGGATAGAAGTATCATTATCGTCCTTGAACTCGTATCTTTGTTTGAAGTACTCCGTTGATGTCTCCGACTTAATATTCGGAACAAATGGCTTCTCAGATGGCTGGTATCCTGCGAGCCAAGGGTGATTTAAGATTTCTTCAGCTCCATTTGCACCCAAACGCTTCGAAGGATCGACAGTGAGCAGCCTTGATATGAAATCTTGGCATTCCGGAGAGAATTCGTCATCCAAATGCTCGAATTTGCCAAGAATAATATTATTTTGCAATTCTTTTTCGGTATCTGCAGTAAACGGCGGTTCGCCCATCAATAATTCGTAGACAACGCATCCGAGGGACCAGTAGTCAACCGGAAAACTGTGTTTTTGTCCGAGAATTATTTCTGGAGCAACATAGTTAGGAGTCCCTACAAGAGAATCGCTTTGAACTATGTTCTCATCAGAATTAATACGACGATCAACAACTCCGAGATACGATAAACCGAAATCTGTCAATTTCAAGTTTCCATTTGCGTCAACTAATATGTTATCTGGCTTTAGGTCACGATGAATGATTCCGCATTTATGGAGATACTCCAAGGCTTTGGCAATTTGGTACGCGTAGAATTTGGCGGACTCTTCATCAATGGAATAAACCTCGTGGAGAAGGGAATAGAGGTCTCCACCTGGCAAGTATTCCATGACAATGTAGAAATTATGAGTACCAAGGATGGAATAGTAAAAATTAATAATATAAGGGTTTTGGAAGTGTAAAAGTATATCTTTTTCAGCGAGAATCCTCTTGCCCTGATTTTTGTTGAGGATATTTGACTTGGATTGGACCTTGATCGCGTAGATATCTCCTGTCGATTTTTTCTTTGCCAAAAAAACTCGGGCAAAAGCACCACGGGATACGCGCTTGATGAATTCGAAGTCAGCAATAGTGATCTTTGGGTGGTTTTTAGGTAAGTTTGATGGGCCAAGTGCTTGACGGGTTGCGCTGTAAGCATTAATGGCTCTTTTCTTCTCATACGAGATGTCCTGGGCTCTGTCTATAATGAAGTGTATTTCGGGGAGCTTTACATTGAGAAGATGTTTTATTAAATCAGAAATTTCTTCAGGGGATTCTAAATCATCGTTTCCAACACGTATAATAGCATCTATAATCATAGTAGCATGTAATATCGGATAAGTTTGATCATCGTTTCCTGGCCATTGAAATTTAAGAAAATTTTCAGCGAGTTGTGTTCTTAATTCCATGAGATCAGAGTTACATTTGTTTATAAGTGCTTCAGATTGAAAAGCCTCAACACATTTAGCTGTATGTTCTTCGATTTGATCGATATCAATAGGTTGGTCGCAAATACGGCAAATTACGGCGTTTTCAATTTGTATAAGTGGAGTAGGCGATAGTTTGGTTGCCGAGCAGAAGATTCTTCCTCTAATATCATTGTTGATGAAAGGAAAAATGACTGAAAAAAGATGCTGAATAGAAGCTCCTAGGGTAATAAAAGAACTGTAGAGTTTGTCAATCTCGGGTGATGTTTGAATATCAGTGAACAATGAATATGATTCATTGATACCTTCTGAAATTGTATCATAAAGATTGCCTAAATATGAATTCATGGTATTCTCGTAGATAGCTTGAAGCTTCTTGACAAGTTCTTGAAGCGGTGGGGATGTTTGTTTGATAATCTCGCTGAAGGTTGGGCGTAAACTTTCAAGATTATTTCGGAGAGCTTGAAGCTTATGAAAATATGGATCATACGGAATCTTATTTTTCTTAGGTAATGCCTGGAAGCTTATAGGACTCTGTGGTCTAGGAAGCCGTGGCATTCTAAAATGCCTGGCTTGAAACATTTATAAAAAACGATTATTTCTAATTCAAACAATTTTTCAGATACTGATTTTTTAGAGGTAGGGCAACGATAGAAAATTTTTGGAAAAAAAGTTCGGAGATCTTAAACGTATCATATTCCCTGCATGGTTTGGTATCTTCCGCCATGCGTTGTGCCAAACATATTGACACTTTCCAATAATTAATTTATGGTATGAGTCACAGAGTTAGATTATAAAAAGAAAGTAAATAATTGCAATTAGAAATCATATATGTCGGAAATCAAATGTTGATGAGCAGAAACCTTTTACTCATCATAAAAGAGATAAATCACTAAAGATTTGTATACATTAAAATTTGATATTTGGTGCTCGAAAACTGTCTGATGGGACTCCTCCAAAATGAACCAATCTATCGCTGAGGACCAAATTAGATGATGTGGATGGTGTATTCTCTAATTCTAACTTAGGAAGAATGGGAACAAAACGAATGACGACAACAACATGTCAAACATAGATTAAATATCTATGAATCAATAAAGTATACGTGCATTGAAGGTGATAACGATCACTTGAGGCTTATAACTCTTTGACTAAATTATGCAATAATTAAATATAATCATTTTTATATTTTTATACTGATAGTAATTAATATACTATCCTGCTTAATAAATGGTATGATCAAATTTGTTTGAAAATTTAATTATGTATATGAAACTATGTCTTCTATATAAAAATCAAAATTTTCGGACGAACCTAGATTGAACCTTTATGAAAATCTATCATTTTTGTTAATTGAGTTAATATGAATCTTTTACATATGTATATATAGCATTGATAGCTTATATAATCATGGTTTATTCCATATTAACATATTTTTTCAGTTAAATTTGTTAATAATATCATGTAACAAATTAATTCAAGATTAGAATGTCTACAAAATGCTAACAAATAAGAACAAAATACGATTTCTCGACTTAAATTTTAATATGGAGTAGTTTTTCGTTTAAATCTAATTAAAAATGAATAAAAACTTATCTTGTACTATTTTCATTCAAAGATTTTAATAATGTAAATCATGCATTTTCATAATTCAGTACAGTTCTTTTTAGAATTAAAGTTGATGAGGATGATATTTGTGATTTAAAATAATTTGTTAATGTTCACCTTTTATTCATCACCTTGTGGTATGCCCTAAAGCAATAGCATTATCAATTCTGCTGAATTGATCAACTCAAAATTCCAAAAAAAATTCAAAATTTCAAAAATGAAATTAAACAATTTGAATTTTCACATGAAAAAATCAATTTCGAAAAAAATTTGGAAAATCAAAGTATTTGATAATTAGTCAAATAATCAATTTACATCGTTTTTACTCATAAAAAACAACTAATTTTTGATTTTGATATCATATTTGATAAATACTCATTCCAGAGTTGACGTAATGTATTAATTATTGTTAGAGATATTGCTTTCGCAGCAAAATTCTTATTTCATGAAAGAAAAAAAAAAGATTTTATTCCAACAAAAACAAGTAAACAGATGAATGGAAACGTACTATATTTTCATAAATGTAGTAATCAGCGTGTCAGCTTTTGTTTATCATGTTCGAGTCAAAATGTATTAACTTGTAATAAGAAATATTCGAAGATTATATGAAGTATTGAGCATTCTTTGTAGAAATATTTGTAATTCATTACTAACATATATAATAAAGTTGTTTTTTTTTCCTTATTGCAATAATTTTGTCTGATTTTAATAACTTTTCATGTATACGAGTTGTGTGAATATGCATCATAATATGCGTAAATATACTTATTTGCGACGAATAATGTGGTTGCATAATGGAGGTGCTAAATTTTGATTTTTAATATGGGCTTTGGTATGTATAATCATGTTCTTATCTCAACGTAGGAGTATTGGTGCAATATGATTAAAATTTACGAGGTTGATCTTAAATTGAATAATTCTGGAGTATAAATCACAATGCAGCTAATTCTATGTTAAAGATAGATACAGATTGTAGTAATCAATTAGGGAGTACAAATTCATTCTTTCATTTCTGTCGTATTGAGCAGAAAGGAAGAGATCATAACCCTAGGAAAAAAAGCCCAAATTTGTCACTTTTCATAGTACGTTAAACTCAATTCGCTCGGCGAATGCCGAGCACACGTACTCATCATTCAACATAATATTCTCATTCTTTGGTTATTATAGTGCCAGACAACACAAGATTTCAAAGAATTACTTGAGTTTTTCAATTAATCTAATCCGATTTTAGATTTATCGAGAACTCCATCATCAAATCCACATACTTCAGTGCGTAACTACAATTATCCATATACAGAAGGAAGTTCTTTTCGAACAACTCATTTGGAGTCTGTTTTGGAAATTCTTTCTGTCCGACTTAATTTCATAGTTCCTGATCAACCAAAAGACAGAAAACCACACACTATCTACTTAGGAAGGAGTTCTTTCTAAATCTTCCTTAAATTGAGATTTTACGAGAGATAACCCTTCTATTGCACTTAAAAATGAACATTTTGATATCTTTAGTATACACATGGTCATATATAGTATTTCATCTACATAAATACATTCATCTTTCGAAGTCTCTCATTAAATGGGAGGCTTCGAAAGATGAATCGTTTTATTCATACAACTTTAAATCTCGAACACATTTAGAGAGTGAGTATATCATTTTATTCTTGTTTTGAGTTTATTCTGATTCAAAATTGCAGTGAAAACAGAAGTTCACACATCATATCTGAATGTGAGCTCATCTATACTTATACGATCTCAATACCTCCACTCTAAGCATAAGAGGTGAAGTTATATAAAAATTATCAGATGCGTTGAAGTCTCAAAAGAATTGCCTGAATGCTTGTTTCATATTTGTCCAAGTAGTTTCAATGAATAAATGTATTGTTTTTTATAATTTCGATTTATTTTTAGAAAATATTCAATATAAACCTTTATTGTGTTATTTACATCTCATAAATTCTCTGTCTAAATCATATAAAAGCGCGTTTTACCCCTATGAATCAAGAAATTCATTCAATATTCATGGTATATTTATTAAATTTATACGATTTACTAATAATCAATATTATATCCTCATAAATAGCAATATATTTTGGTAATCTATGATAATCATATACAATATTTGAAATCAAATTTTCATTAGTTTAGGTTCCTTGTTAATAGTAAACCATTATATTTATTACTAATAATAAAATCTATGTGTCGTATTGAAATTCAATAAAATTACTTATTCGGTCCAAAAAAACAAATTAGATAAAATTTTTCTTTTTTTATGTAATTTTTGTTTTTCATTTTTCTCAAGATCCTAAGTTATGTTCTAACTTTTGACATCATATCCTATCATGCTAGGCTATATATTATAGCATATCCAAAAGGCAAGGAAATCTATCAGAGAAGCCTTTTTGACCTATCGTTGCCCTACCTCTGATTTTTTTATTTTACTGAATTATCTGATCAAGAAATCAATTATTTGAATAATTAGATTCAATACATTCTTGAAAAAATGTCATTTTATTAAATTCAATATAAATTCTGAAAAGATCAAATCATATTGTTTTCTTGATTGTACAGTTTTTCATGAAAATTTTATTATTTTATTGCGTTAAGAAAAATTGAAACGAAAACATTGGAAAAACGTTGTAACGTTAGATAATCGTGGTTTAGCTTAATTAACCCGAGGAAATTTTGAATATTAAATAACTTGATTTAATTTTTTTGTTTAATTATTTTCTGAACCAATTGATTTTGGTTTCGGCATATTGTCTAACAACTTATTATGCAAAATAACATAATAATATCGGGAGAAAATCATAAATGGTTTACATTTTTTTGGCAAGATAAGAATATGATTATTTTTAAAACATGAAATATCTTTAAATTAATAGGAGGACCTTCAAGGTCTCGATGAAGTCATCTCAACGATATGACAGTTCGTTTCATTGATTAAAATAAAATTAAAGAATTTTGATTTTTTTCAGAAAGTCTGAGATTTTAGCTATTATTTCATACAAATAATTTAAAAAGAATATTAATTTCAATTATATAAGTTGCAAAAACCTCTAAATAAACATAATAAAAAAATTCCGGAGTTAAGGTTTTCTTGGGGGGTTAAATTGCCCATTTTTCATAGCCCAAAGCAAAGAAGTCTGCGGAGAAATCTTCTGCCTTGTTGGCATTTGACCCATTGTCGCAGAAGTCTTAAGAGCTCCAGTTTGAGGATGACTTTGTTGGGCAATAGTAATAAGAGGTGTTGCTGTTCGTACGTGGTTGAAATTTCCTTTCATATTCAATTGTACTGATGCTGACGAACCGGATGTTAAAAGCTTTGTTTGCAAATTACTTGGTTGTGCTGAGATTCCTGGAGATTCTGTCATCAATGGTGTTGTAACAAGAGTATCTGTTGACATCGAGCGTGTATCTGATGCACGTACAAGCTCTGCTTTGAGAACCCAATCGTATTTGTAATCGTAAACGAATCCTTGGCGTTCGAAAAGAGCTCTAAAGTCGGCTCTGTACTTGACATAATCAGGATCATCCTTGAAACCAAGTGCACGAACTGAAGTTAAGAAATTGCAAAATTCAACTGGTAATCCGCTGCATAATTCTTCCGGAGTCGTCTTTAATTTGCAATCGTAGATTAATTGGTGCTTTCTTGTACGATTTTCTTCTTTGAAGCCTTGCCATGGTAGTGATCCTTTTAATAAATAAATTAATACGTAAGCGATACTCTCTAAATCGTCACGTCTACTCTGTTCAATGCCTCTGTGAGTATTAAGGGAGGCATAACGGGCAGTACCAAGCAAAGTTCTTCCATCAATTTGAGGTATATGTTTTCCTGTTTTAGGATCTATATACCTTTTGGATAGACCAAAGTCGATAGAATAAATGATATTTTGATCTTTGTCTGTTCCTAGCATAAAGTTTTCTGGTTTGATATCACGATGCAAGATTCCATTGTTATGTATGTATTGAATCCTCGATAGCATTTGATCGGCAATCATGAGAACTGTTTTAAGAGAAAAGCTGCGTTGGCATTCATCAAGAAGGTTTTCAAGTGTCGAAGATAAAAGCTCAATAACCATTACATTGTAATCTCCTTCAACACCATACCATTTTATATCAGGAATTCCAACGCCTCCCCTCAATGTTTTGTAAATTTTCGATTCGCAAAGCAATTGTGGAGGAATATTATCAACGGACTCGAATTTGACGGCAACTTCTTCAAGGGTGATAATATGCTCTCCAGCATATATATCACCAAAGCTGCCACTTCCACGCTTTTTCTTAATGCGATACTTCGATCCAACTATAATCTCATTCATTCAAATTATTTGGATTTTATGGAATAAATTATCACCAAAAATATGAATATATGATTGTCGTTATTTTTTATTTTTATTTTGTTATTGTATTGAAATTTTGAGAAAGAATTCAATTGAGTTTTTTTGATAAGCAATTATTTGAACAGAAAAGCACCAGTGGACGTATCTCATTGCATTTTTAATGACAACACCCCTAAAATTTTCTCCAAATTGATCTAAATAAATATACTGCGCTTGGTATCAATATTTCATTTTTCTATGGGGAGAAGCTTCCTAAACTTTTTAATCCCATAAATATGGTCATTATCTGGAATAAAGAGTTAAGCGTCATATGTCACTTTTTGTACTAAGGAAACATCGACTTTATGCGTTATGACTTTTCGATGAGGAAACAAGTGTTCACGTATTATAAACTTCCTTATTCCAATAAACCGACCCTAAACATAATTAATTCTAAGCATGATAATGGTCTCTTTTCTATGATAACCAAATCAATTTGGTTATCATAGTAAAGCACCAAAAACTGGAATAGGAATCGGCAATATGGAATCATGAAACAACTAGGATAAAATGGATATGGGACATTCATACATCCATTCCCTATTTTTAACCATATTATATTTTCAAACAAAATTCTCGTACTATTTTCAATAAAATTTGCATAACCTTGTTATTACTCTTAGGCGAAAGATGATTTTAATGTTAATTTTATAGAAGAACTTTTAATGCATAATAAAATAACCATTTCCTATAAATTTAGACTTAAAACGGTGACAATAAACAAGCTTTAGTCTAGAAATTAATTTTCTACTACTATAAATGCATCTTTATCTTTAATTAGAAAAAAATTTATCAATTTTATTATCCAGATGAAAAAAGAAGTGACATATGATATTTTATCTAATTTAAAATCTTTTATTGATTGTTTTTAAAAACTTTGCATTTTGTATGAGTATTTCATGTTTAAATCAGTATAAATACGCAAAATACTTATGAAATTCCAGCTGTTATTCAGTACTATTCATTTTTCAGCAATCATTAACTGTGGAAGAGTATGGCAAACGTTCGATAATGATCATGTATACTCAGATCATCAAGAATGAATTAAAGTCAATGCAGGGAAATGGATAATCCGATTAAAAACCCCAAAAAGGAAAAAGATATTATATGAACGTCTCACAAATGGTTAGTACTAAGCTCTTTCCTGATGATTGAATATTCTTTCATATTTTTGTATATTGTAAGGGATTTTCTCCCCAAATATATAATACCTTCCTTATAAACGATCTACTTTCTTTGAATACAAGTATAATTTTACATTTTAGGAAAAAAATTTATTTTTTCAAATTTATCTTATAACAATAGAGATTTATATATGTGTGTGTCAATATAGGCTTTAGTGGTATAAAATTGGGTAGATTTTGTTTTTTTTGAGTAAAAAATTCAAAAAATTACTATCATTTTGCGTGCAAAGGAATAGTCAGAGCTATTTAATAACATTTTACGAATGAACTATGGAATTACTATAACTTTTGAAGAAATTTCAAAGTTAATAGAAGATTGTATTTTAGAAATCAGCTAAAAGAATGATGTGCATGCATCAAGCGTTAAAGTATCCTAATCAGAAATATAATATACAATGATTAGCAAAGCAGATTTGAATCGGCAAGAAGAGTTGCTTAAAAAATCAGTTGAGTCTTCTCTAGTTTCCACACTGCCTATTCCTGTTTAAGTGCGGTTATTCCTATTCCAGTTTTGGTGCTTTACTATGATAACCAAATTGATTTGGTTATCATAGAAAAGAGACCATTATCATGCTTAGAATTAATTATGTTTAGGGTCGGTTTATTGGAATAAGGAAGTTTATAATACGTGAACACTTGTTTCCTCATCGAAAAGTCATAACGCATAAAGTCGATGTTTCCTTAGTACAAAAAGTGACATATGACGCTTAACTCTTTATTCCAGATAATGACCATATTTATGGGATTAAAAAGTTTAGGAAGCTTCTCCCCTATTTTTTTATGCGATTTTACTCAATAAAAATTTTGCAAATTACCTCCGACTTTTCAGAGGATTGAGTTGCCACTCAATCCTCTGAAATAGTCTGTGGTAATTTTTAGTCTCTACACTATTTCAATATAAGCTCCATTTTTAAACAGTTTTTAAAAATCGAGCATTGAAAAGTGTGATGAGACTTTAAAATTAGCGTTCATCCTCCAAAAATCTCAAATGCACCAGATTTATATTTTCCTGCCAAGTGACTGCTCCTTTTCCTATTAATAATTAGGGAAAATTTTATAATAAAATTGTTCGGTGATACAATGAATTAGATCTGGGGTTATTGAAATCAAAATTATAATCAAATCAGTTAAAGAATTGAAATCATTGATTCAAATCAACATTATTTAATAATTAATTTTGCTATCGAATAATATTGCATCTGTGTTCATATATAGGTAGGATCAACCAAAGAAGCAGATAGCGAATATCAATAATCTTACTACCGAAGTTTCATAATGTTTAATGTCGGATGAAGCCTTTCGTGATATATCTTTGACTATGAACGTTAGAAATGTTAAGACTCTATACACAGGTCTTGTAACAAAAATACATAATAGAAATGGCAAATCTGACTCTAGAATTCTTTTTATTGGTGATTCATGTATTTCGTTTTTTACAAATAAGCCAAAGCCCACCGAGTCAAGAACCTTCTATTGGTGCGACATATTGGATGCACAATATATAGAAGATAAATTCGAACTAGAGTTTTCAAAAGATCAAGAATTGATGAAATTCATATCTCCTGAGCCAGAAAAAGTCAAGAAAATAATAGGATTCATTCTTTTTAGATTTCTTACAGAAGATGTTCAGAAAAATATTCATTTCGAAGATTTTGGAAAATTTGAAGCTCGGCCAAATGGTTTAATACTATTAGCAAGATTCATATCAGCAGAACTTTCAAACAAGGTTAAGCTTCTCCCTGAAGTTTTGAAAATAATTACAGATTTTTTCAAATATAATCACACAGAGATTACTCTTCCTGCTGATAAAGCAATCGGAACTCAACTGGAATCTTTGATCTTTGCTTTAAATAGATCAACTAATATTAAAAGCATTGAAATTCCTGAAATAAACCCTCCAGCTTATACACAGCTAGCAAAAATCCTTCCAACCATCAAAACCTTAAACCACATCAATATTATTGGTTCAAATTTTAAAGGATTTCCCGATTTTTGCACAGAAATTTCGAATCTCGACAAAACATCATCAGTTACGGGCTTATCATTTGAAGGCGCCCAATTTACAGCCAAACAATTAACACAACTCCATGATACTCTTGTTAATCATGGATTTAAAAGTTTATCTTTTTTCAATTGCGTTACAGAAAAGACTAAGACCAATTTCTTCGATGAATTCCTTGATGACAAACTCTTTGAATCCATACAGATGCTGAATCTTGACTTTACAACCATTTTAGATATAAATCCATTAATGATGAAGGCAACAAAGCTTATTTCGTTATCTCTTGAAGACACAGGTATTGATATATTTGATGTTTTCACACAATTGTCCCAAAATCAATATCCTAATCTTAAAATGTTGAATTTAAAGGGAAATAAATGCACGAAAACAATAGGAAACATAAAGATTGATGACGCATGCCCACTTTTAAGAATAGATATGAAGAGCGTTTCATGGGATTCCTCTTGTTTTACTGGAGTTTTTAAATTTATTAGTTCTAGAGAGTGGCCAAATGGACTTTTGCTTGATCTGAGCCTCGCAAAATACCAAGAACTTGATTTCCATGACTGCATTGCCCTCTTAAATGGATTACAATCAGGTCCTCTTTTGCATTTATCTTGGTCGAAAAATCCGATTAACCACGAGTTCATAGAATTCTTAAAGAAGAATCAAAACTTGTTCTCCATCAATGTTACAAGCTGTTTCAAGCAAGGAACGTTGAGCCAAATGCAAGAATTCGCTGATTTCATAAACCAGTCGAATATTCAATATTTGACAATGGTCGGACATGGAAAAGACACAATAGGTGAAGATATGAATCTTTTCTTCGATAAACTCGAATCTCCGAAGAAATTATTTTATCTTGACATAAAATCTCAAAAATTCGGAACTACAGGATTCGATTCCTTGTATAAGTTGATCGAAAGAACTCCTTCTCTCCAATATATCAACTTTACAGGCGCAAATCTCAAGAAACTTGAAGATTTATTTGGATTTTTGACAAAAGTTAGAACTCTTGGCAGAAAAATCAGATTTGACTTCCCAGATGATGATCTAGACTCGATTATGCGCGAAAATGTCTTCAGAGCTGAAGAAGTAACGAAAATTAAGTGGTTATTAACAGATATCGCAACAAAAGCCTCAGTAGACAGCCAAAACCAAGATGGTATCACAAGGAAAATCGAAGGAGATCCATTAGATCAGCCATTTGACTGTTTCAAGATGGATTCACCTTATCATTTTCCGATATTTATGAGAGACAACCTTTATTTCGACTTCTATCCACAACTAGAGTATTCTGTACCAAAAGAAGCTGTAATTGCTTCAACAGCGGACATCACAAACCTCATATACAGTGAAAATGAGGAAGAAACAATTTACGAAGAAGATTACTCAGAAATCGAAAAAGTGACACCGGTAAAAAGTGTCGAAAAAACCCCAGAACCGGAAAAAAAGAAAGTAGAGGAAACACCGCGCCCGCCACAAGTTACTCCTACGAGGACAGTTGAAGAGAAGCATGAGCCGAAGAAATCTCCTAAAAGAACAACTCCAAAACGAAAGATTCATCATAAAGTTATATCTGAGTCGTCATCTGATGATTACGATGACAAAATTGATACAAGATATAATAAAAAGCATCGAGGATACCCATTACCATATCCAATGCCTTATATGTACCCTCCTCCTTTTTATCCACCACCTCCTCCTCAGTATTACCAAGTTCCTGTACAATACATCAATCCAAATCAGATCCAGTACAACCAGATGCTACCACAGCCCATCCAATACGCTCAACAACCTCAGCAAATCAATAATCAAAATGAAATTGAACAAGAACCTGTCAGAAAACAAAAGAAAGCTCCGCAATTGAGATATGAAGATAATGACTCTGATAACCAAGAAGAGAAAGTGATCAGAAAGCAAAAAATTATGAAAAATAAGAAAATTAATTGGAATTTCCCGATTGATAAACTTCAGGAGATAGATACAACAGAAGAGTTCGATAATATTAATGCTAAATTCTCTTTCAAGAATTTAGTTAATGATATAATGTAATTTTATTTTATTTTTTAAAAATTTTGTTTGTATTTAATAAAAATTAGGTATCTTACACCAGCATGTTTTATTAATTTAATCACGATAACCATATTTTCTATACTTGTATGCATATTTATTATATTCATCACGAGGCTCGTATTCTATAACAATAACTAAATTTGCTGTACTTGTTGGCGCAATTGCTGGTATCAAATCAGACTGCGTTCGGCATTCAATTGCAGTGATTCCGTCGTTATCTTGAGCATTGATGTCTGTCCCATTTGAAATAAGAAGATCTGTATATGAGCTATTCTTTGGTGCATAATGGAGTGCCGTTTTCCCATCATAATCCTTTGTGTTCACATCTATTCCATGATTTATTAATTCTAGAGCAATTTTATATGAATTCTCATCGTAATAGAAATAATAATATGTACCTGCATCAATCATGATGAGATGAAGAGCTGTTCTTCCATATTTATCAATTGCATTAACTTCAGAACCATGCAATAAAAGAATGTTGGTCATTTCTATATTTTTTGTTGCAGCTGCAAGATGTAATGCAGTTCTATCCTCATTGTCTCTCTCATTGACATCACATCCATTTGAAATAAGAGTTTCTATCACATCATTGCTTTTTTTGATAACTGCAAGATGAAGCAAAGTTCTTCTATAAGGTCCATCCCTAATATGAATATCTGCACCTTGTGATATAAGGAATTCTGTCATTGATTTGAAATTCAAAGCAACAGCCACTGCGATTGCAGATCTCTCATCATCTTTTCCATTGATGTCTGCACCATGTGAGATAAGAAGTTGAACAAATATAATATTGTTATAAGAAACAGCATAACAAAGAGCAGTTTTTCCATATCTTGGATCTTTTGCATTGACATCGGCACCTTTCAAAATAAGGAACTCTGCCATTTTCATGAATTTCATTTTTAATGCAGTTATAAGAGGTGTCACACCATATTCGTTTTTCGCATTGATATCTGCACCATGTGAAATCAAATATTCTGCATTTTCGAGAATACCAGTTGTAGCCGCAATATGAAGAGGAGTATTTCCATCAACCATAGAATTGACATCCGCACCATAAAAAATTAGAAGTTTCATAAACTCTATATTATTTGTCCATATTGCATGATGAAGAGGATTCATTTTCATAATTTTATCTTTAACATTGAAATCAACTCCACATGCAATTAAAATTCTTACCATTTCAATATTGTTTTTCTGAAACGCAATATGAAATGCATTTTCTCCGAATTTGTTTTTTGCATTAATATCCGCACCTTTTGATATAAAGAAAACTAACATATTAAAATTATTCATTTTTGCGGCACAATGTAAAGGCGTATTTCCATTATTATCTTTTGCATTGACATTCGCTCCATGAAGAAGAAGGAAATTTGAAATCTCTTTATGATATATACTTACTGCATAATGAAGAGCAGTATTCCCAGATAATCTATTTTTTATATTAATATCTAAGTCATTTGATAGTAAATAATCAAAAAGGTAATAAATATTAAAGTAATGTGAAAAAACAAAACATTTTCCAATATCCTTTGTCTGATTGATAAAGACTAAAAATGAAAGGAGATTATAGAATTTAATACAATCTCGAAAATCAATTTTCAATTTATGTTCATTCATCAAGTATGTGACGAAATCAATATTATGAGATATTATTGCATTTTTCATGCATTTATCATCTGGATGACATTTCTTTAAACATTCGCTTATAATTTCTGGAGCACCACTTAAAAATGAAAGAGCAAGGCAGTGACAATTTATATTCGGTTTGAACTTTGTTATAATAAACTTAAAACAATCTACTGCACCATGATAACAACATAATTCAAGATATGAATATGGAAGAAATGAATCTGGATAAAAATCACTTTTGATTTCAAAGTCTTTATCAAATTCATCTTTTTCTGTGAATGCAATAAATGATTTCAAATTATCATCCATAATTGCTTTGCAAATTGCATTTTCTTCATGATAATCTAGTGTGAACATCTTAGAATTATATTCTTCAAACTTTTGTTCGTGTGATTCATTGAACATAAATCCATACTCTTTGTATACGAAATAATCGAAAGTTGATGAAATTTCATTAATCTTTTTTGGATGATATTCTTCGTAAACTTTTTTGAACAAAATCCAATATGACTTGAAGAACTTATTATTATATTCTGATGCACATGATATTATTTCACATACTTTGCTCGGGGACATAATTTTTGTTTCAATCAAGTTATTTTTTATCTCATTGAAAATCTCGGTTATTTTTCCATCATCTCGTGTATTTAATCTATATATTTCAGAGAAAGTGTGATGAAAATCTTTGATTATAATCTTTTCTCCTCTCTTTGAACGTTCCATGATAAATATGAAAATCTATTAAATTCTATCGTTGTTGTCTTCTGTTAAAAAATTTATGAATGCAGATCATTAAAGTCACGCAGTGCTCAACATTTGAATGCTATAAATATTTATAATTTTAGTTGCATATCAATTCTTTCAAAATGTTGTAATTTTTGTAAACTTTATATTTGTCCAGACTATTTTTAAAAAATTTGAAGAAAGCAAATGGAAAATACGTAATAATTATTAAAGTGGATGTGATATTGCATGTTTTGTAGCGAGGCAACTAAGAACGATATAATGATGAAAAAAAAGAAATAAAGAAAAAATTGCACTGCCCGGGAATTGAACCCGGATCAAAAGCTTGGAAGGCTCTCATGCTACCATTACACCAGCAGTGCTTCACATTTTTTTCCTCTTATGTGATCTTATGAATATAAATTAGTACTTTTTATTGAGAAATTGTAAAATTACATTTTTTTGTGTAATTTGATGTTTTATGCTTTAATCCATATTGGCAACTTGAAGAACATTAACATAGTAAATGTTTTGTTGATAGTTATCTCGCAATTCAATTAATTACTTAATCTAATTATATGAAATTATAGTTATTCAATAAACGTAAAGAGAATTAAGGTGATATACTAATAGTATATTCCAATGGGTTAAAAAATTTAAAAAGCTAGTTATTGTTTTTATTCAAAAATGAATAAAAATTTTTTTGGTTTATTTTGGTGCTGCATAAGGATCTTTGAATGGCTCAACGTGTCCAACTACTGGTTGTGGATATGCAACGACGTATGCGACTGGTTGTGGCGGCATCATTGCAATTGGTTGTTGGACATTACTGAGCATTCGTTCATTGAGATCTTGTAGATTAGTTTCATTTTCATGATTGTTCCTCTTCTTTCTGCACAAGCAAATAACCAACACAATTGCACCTCCAATGATCGTAACACTGAAGATGGAAGCGAATCCGTAGATCCAAATTGGAATGCGTACTCCAGCAAAGTCTTCAGCCCATGCGAATGGATCTGTACAATTACTATTGTTGTAATCAGTGCAATTATGATGTCTTGTTCCATTTCCACTTGTGCAATTGTGATACTTCGTGCAGTTATCATATCTTGAACCATTATTGTTTGTGCAATTATGGTACTTAGAGCAATTATAATTAGTACAATTGTTATACTTAGAACAGTTATTGTTTGTGCAGTTATTATACTTAGAACAGTTATAATTTGTGCAATTGTTATATTTGGAACAATTATAATTTGTGCAATTGTTATATCTAGAGCAGTTTGAGTTTGTTCCTGTGTTGTTGAATCCAGATGTGAAAGTTAATCTTCCGGCAGGTGCAGAATCACTGATATAATAAGCCTGGTATGGAGAATAGTTGCTGTTGATTAAGTACGTTTCAGAATCTGTTTCTCTAACATCGACGACATGATGCACCCAGTTATCCGTTGAATTATATGGATTTGTGTGAACAGAATAGAATGAGCTTCCAAATCTTCCACTTGCGACGTATTTTCCTGTCATGCCATATGAGAATCTTTCAGTTTTAGCACTGCTATTTGCAATTCCTTTTTCAGCAGTGCGGAAAGCAGAGAAGAGACAGTTCTTTTCTCCGTAAGCAGTTTGAACAGAGAAATTGGTATTTCCTGATGCTGTTATAAAGTTTGTGCAAACAGTGTTACTCATGTTATAAACAGCAAAATGAACTGAGACAGGTGTTTGTTCATAAGTATAGAAATTAATTTTTCCTGATGTGTTGAAGTAAAGTACAGTAATATTTGTGTTTCCGAGGATTCCCAAGAATGTCCTTCCACTTGTTGCATAACCATGAACACCTTTGAATTGTGTGAAAACAACATATGAGTGTCTTTCAATGTAACGATATTCATCAAAGAATTTTCCAACAATGTTAAAATCATGACGTGGAGGCATATAAATAGAAAGTGTTGTGTCATATTTGGAAAGATTGTTTGCAATGATTTGTGCATATGGATATACATAGAATGAGAAGTTAATTAATTTTACCAAACTTTTTCGACACTTTTTGTAATTTCGATCTCAAAGTTGTCAAGATTGTAAAGTTTAGTTGTTGGTCTGTATCCAATGCTGATTCCATACTTAGATTTCAATGTTGTTGTTTCTTTAAGATCTTCGGAAATTTTATAATCTCCATATCTCACCGTTGAAGGAGAATCGGTCCTGATTTGAATATCAACTGGGTCATGTGATAATATGGTGGTGCAATACAATTTATTTGCTGATATATTCAATCCTGATTTATTAAATTTATACTGATTTCCTTTTAATGGGTTGAGAATGAATTCTAATGATTCACACTCTTTTGGTAAGCTAACAACATGGAATTCAGTTAATAAGCGGTCATTAAAATGAATCGTTTCTTCAGGTAAAATATGATAAAAATGCGATTCAACCTTTTTGTCGTTAATGTATAGCTGCTCCAATTTTTCTGCAATTACCAAATAAAATTTATGATCAGGTTTTGCTTCTTTTCTAAGATCAAAATGGATACTATCCTTTCTATATTGATCTGAGATATTATACGAACCAAGCTTGGTAATAACCAATTCACTTAGTGCGGTACAAGCAAGGAAGGGAAGCATAAAAATTTTGAATTTGAATTCTCCAAATAATTAATTTCTGTTGAGTAGAACCGAAACGGATCATTTTGAGAGGGAATCTGAATTTGAAATGATATTATATTTTTCAAAAAATCAATAATACATATATCAACGAATCATTTCTATTTGTGAGAAAAGAGAATTATCGTTATCGTCTCTCACAATTTTCAGAAGATACATCTTCCTAATTTCGATTTGTCAAAATGGCAATTATCACTGTGTTTTATCAAGTAAGAATCCACCTTGCCAATGAACTAATAAGGAGTGATCGTTTCCATAAATCGGATTTATATTTTTCTGGAAAATATCAAAATTAAAAAAAAATTAATATTATCTGTTTGATCCAGTTAAGTAAAGAGCTCTTGTTAATGCTAACTTAATAACTCATTTATATAAAGCTTAGCTTTTACAATTTTTATTATTATTATGCAGATTCATTCTTGATTAATTGCAAATAAATTGTTGAAAAGCAAGGAATAATTCTAAACGATTAAATGCATCACACAGAAAGGAAAAAAAATTACCAATCAAATCAATTAAAATTATTGGAACAGAAAACTGTATTTATCCAGTAATCAATTTTCCAAAAGTAAAAATCGAATATATTATTAATTTTTTTAATCAATTATGACAGTAGATTGTTCTAGGTTGTGAAAGTAGATAGTATATCTCGTTAGTAAATTCAATGATATATTTTTAATATAAATGCCTTTTCATCGCTAAAGAATAATGCCATCAAATTCAAAAGCAACTCAATTTTGATTCAGATAACGATAACTTTCTCTCAAAAGTGAAACTCGGTTCAGAAAAGTGACAATGTTGCATAATAACTCGTTTGAACCACAAAATTTGAATGTCTTGTATAACTTCCAATGATGTTACGTCTATAGTCTAGTTTTTGCTCATCTTGGTTTGCTATGTGCATAATTCATAGACAGAATATATAGAAGATAAAACATGCACATTTAAGTACATACTTCCTTTCAACAAGAATTCTTGTCTAAAACTCGAGCTATTTGGGGAAAAATATAGAAGCTGCCAAGGATATTTATCTGTTTTAGTATTCATCCTTTTATATGAAATTATTTGAGAATTTACACATCTATAATATATATAAGAAAATATCTCTAGATTTTTTTAGAATTATTGTGCTATATCTAGGGATGCGCTAATTACGCCATTTGACCGGGCGTATATTTTTTTTTGTTCGCCCAAAAATTTCGCCATTTGAGAAATTCAAAAATTAAAAATAAAATTTTAATCTTGATTTTTTTATTTTCGTGATTTTTTTGGAACTTACATAAGCGATTAAATACATTTTTTAAGCACTCGTTTATTATATGTAAATATATCTTAATAAATTTAATTCCTTAAGGTAGAGCGTGTTCAAATTTAAAATCTCATACAATATTTTCTTAATGGCGTATTTTTCTGAGGTCGCCCAAATAAAGGCGAATTCAAAATTGAGAACTCCAAGGCGTATGGCGAGTATTCAAAAAGTACGCCACTTACAAAATATTGAATGTGGATTATCAAATTTTTGGCGTGTTCAATTTCAAAATATTGATACTTAGTTTATATCACTCTAGATGATGTTATGAATGTAACAATAACACAAATAGAATTTTTTCTTAGAGATTATTTTAAAATTTTTATTTTAAAAAAATGTTGAAAATAGTATTTTAAGTATATTGTGTAAAAAATTAAAAAAGACACAAATTTAATCATTTTTATATATGCAATGACAAATTCCAGATATGAAAAATATCCTGGTGATGAAAGGACTTATGAAAAATTAGAGTATAATGCAAAATCCAAACATTGGATTATGGGTTGTACTGCTTAGGTTCCCACCCAAGATGGAGATTCATTCAAATGCGCCTTTAAAAAAAGAGATGATCACCTAAAAAAGAAATCAGCAATGGGAAGCTTCATAAATGTTTCCCTGATAGTGCAAAACAAAAAGATATTCGAAATTTTATATTATCTACAGAATCACAAATGGAAGGTTCTGTTGAATTTAATGCTGATGGAATTTTTCGCAGATTAGCTATCCTATTAGCAAAGCATAATATCTCTCTCAGCACAGGGAAAGTGACGAAATATACAACTTAATTGTGTATAGCTTTTGTTTAGGCAATACAACATCAAAGGAGAATGGAAAAACTGCAATACAAGTTGGAATGGAAAAAATCCCTCATTACAAGCGCGATAAGCTCAAAGATATACTCATACAGACATCCAAAGAGATTCATTCAAGTATTATGGCGCGCTTCTCTACGTTCAGCATGCCTTACGCTAGTGTCGCTCTAGACGAAGTACCACACAGAAGAGATCTTTACTCGACTTTGTGTTGGAAAATCCTTGCTTTCCAATTCAGTCTTATCCAGCCCATACAGAAAGAATGACTGGATTGAAGACTGCCAACTACACACTCGCGATCAATAATGGATTGAAGGCAATCCATGATTGTCACGTGCAGATCGGCTGTGTCATAGTTGATGGAGGAACAGCACAATTGGCTGCACTTACTGGTAAGGATAATTCCATCCTTGCCTTATCCAAGGTGCAATGGATGAAGGAAATCATTGTTGTACCCTGTATTTGCCACAGGGTACACAATGCTTATAAGGCGGCAATGAACCATCCAGCAATTTCACCATTGAAGGATCAATTGCTGGAAGTTGCCGAAATATGCCGCCAGCATGTCGAGGTTTTTGGATCAAGATGCCCATCCAATGTCGAAACAAGATGGGTATCCTTCATCTATCCTCTCCATTTTATCTGGACCAAGCGGGCGAAGGTGACATTATTCCATTCCATTCCTGACGGAACAGAAGATCTTTATAAGTGTTCCGTCATCTTCGCCAGCTTGGTCCTGATCTTCGAAGACCCGAAGTCTCCACTTTCCAGGGTCTATCCTTGCATCTATAATGCAATGAAGGCTGGAAGAGCTTGATGCCGAAAACAACAGATTCGCCAGAATCTTTAGGGACATCTTGCTTGAGAAGACCATTCATTCGCAAATGGGAGGCCTTTGGGCATTTGCATACATCATTACACCCAAAGGCCTCATGTTTGCTAGGAACAGTATCAATAGCAGAGAATTCCCTCCCCCAACAAGCGGCTACGTGAAGATGTTCCACTACCGGCAGAAAGAGGAAGACCCGATAGAAGATGTCAGGGAAATCTTCATGGGAGACGCCGCCGCTGAAGCAGAAGGAAACACCGAACCACCAGCACCCTCGTTGAAGCACAATTGGCCAGCCCAGGATCTTAATAGATTCAATGAAGATCTTCATGAGCAGGAAGAAGTTCATGAGAGTAATGATGATACTGAGGGTGAAGAGCTCTGTGATTCTCCGATGGTTGATGCTGCAATTAGCTGGTTCACAAGCGAACTCAAAAAAAGAGGACGTAGTGATGATGTGATTGATGATATAGTTAAACTATTTAAAGATATGATTGCCAATAACAATCATATCTTTAAAACATCAAGAACTGTAAGTGGCTTGGACATTTTTGATTTTAATTTTAAAATCAATGATGAAAATTGGGGATTGTTCGCAAATATATGCCTCCGCATAACTTGCTGCACTTGTGCGGAGGCAAGCTGTGAAAGAACAATCTCAGCCCAGCGTCTCATCTTAACTTGTTCAAATTTAAAGATGAGTAAGGAATTAATGGACGCTAGGCTAAAGATCATGAAGGGAGCTAGTTGGAAAACATAGTTGCTCTTGTCTTTGTAAAAATTATAAAATATTTTTTTTAAATTGTATATACTTGTATGTTTATTCGAAATGCACTGAGGTGGCCAGCCTCAGTGCATAGTTGTTTTTGTATTCATTCTTCGTTTTGAACAATTTTGTAATTTGATTTTGTTTTCGCATTTAACTTTGTTATGTATTGTATTGATTAATGATACTATCCTATGTATTTCCAACTAGAATATGGTTGGCCAGACCATATTAGGACCATACATAAGATATGCATCAACTAATTTTAAACCAATTGTGAATTCCATTGAAGGCCATTCAATGGAATCCACAATTGGTTTAAGTGTTGCAGTAAGCAACACTACAATTAAAGAAATGAAGTGTTTTAAAGAAGAATAAATATGATTTTATTCATTAAAATTGAAAGGATAATAATTCAGAAATTTTGAAAGAAAGACGGCTTTTTTTAATTGAGTGATCTGAAATATAATCAATAAATATTATCAAATTAAAATAAATAAGAGAATTATATAAAAATGCGTTTTTATTTTGAATAAGAATTCAAAAAATGGTTAAAAGTAAATTGTGGTTGAGTAGTGATCCAACTGCTCTACCTTAGAGTATTTCTCCTTTGATTAATCCTCCTTAGATTAATCCTCCTCAGGTTATCCTCAGTCTATCCTCAGACTACTCCTCAGATTATCCTCGAACTACTCCTCAGATTATCCTCAGTCTATCCTCAGACTACTCCTCAGATTATCCTCGAACTACTCCTCAGACTACTCCTCAGATTATCCTCGAACTACTCCTCAGATTATCCTCAGACTACTCCTCAGATTATCCTCAGTCTATCCTCAGACTACTCCTCAGATTATCCTCGAACTACTCCTCAGACTACTCCTCAGATTATCCTCAGATTATCCTCAGACTACTCCTCAGATTATCCTCAGTCTATCCTCAGACTACTCCTCAGATTATCCTCGAACTACTCCTCAGACTACTCCTCAGATTATCCTCAGATTATCCTCAGACTACTCCTCAGATTATCCTCAGACTATCCTCAGATTATCCTCAGATTATTCTCAGATTATCCTTAGACTTGTCCTCAGATTATCCTCGAACTACTCCTCAGACTACTCCTCAGATTATCCTCAGATTATCCTCAGACTACTCCTCAGATTATCCTCAGACTACTCCTCAGATTATCCTCAGACTATCCTCAGACTACTCCTCAGATTATCCTCAGTCTATCCTCAGACTACTCCTCAGATTATCCTCGAACTACTCCTCAGACTACTCCTCAGATTATCCTCAGATTATCCTCAGACTACTCCTCAGATTATCCTCAGACTACTCCTCAGATTATCCTCAGACTACTCCTCAGATTACTCCTCAGATTATCCTCAGATTATCCTCAGACTATCCTCAGATTATCCTCAGATTATTCTCAGATTATCCTTAGACTTGTCCTCAGATTATTCTTAACACTTTGCATATAAATCTCTAAATAATTTCTTATAATACTTTCTTTTATTTTTATAAAAATTTTAAAAATTAATATTATTTTTTTCTCTTACTACTTTTAATGAGTGAAAAAGAGAAAGAGGGGAAAAGAGAGAAAAGAGAAAGAAAAAAAGAGGGGGAAAAAGGGGGCGGCGATAATTTTATATTGTTTTGTCTTTTGGCCGAATGGCGGGTACGAAGTACCCGCCATTCGGCCCCAAAAATGGCGTATTATTCTATTTTTAAACGGTCATGGCGTAAAACCGTCGCATCCCTAGCTATATCAATATAAAAAGAAATTTTTAAATAGAAATTTGATGTTACATCGCAATAAAAACAGAATATAATAAAATACTAGGAGATAAGTGATTATATCGACAAATATTCATTGAAGGACAATACATAAATGATTGATCTATCATATTATAGCATGCATACTCATGACATATATAATTTCTGTCAATAATTTGGCAACCTAATAATTTAGTCAAAGTTTTTGAGAAATAATCTGAAACATGTATTCTTATATCTGTGTTTTTTAAAGAAATTGAATTAAAAGTGTTTAATCCGCAATAATATATATCAGTTATTTTGGTATTTTCAAATGCACTGATTTGTATACTGTTAACTTTTGGAGGAAGGACTAATTCGTTGATATTTGTAAAGGAGAAACAGACTATATCAATACTTTCAAGGAGAGGTGGTAAAATCACTGTTTTTAATTTAAAAAATTCATAAAATATTGCATCAAATATTGATGTTGCTCTGGCACAGCTTAAATCTACATATTCAAGATTATTGCAACTACGGAACGCATAACTTGCAATGAATTTTAGAGGAATCGTTAGAGTGAAATTAATAAATGAAGTACTCGAAAATCCCCTGGCAGAAGAAGTTCTCGTTATTGTTGGAAGAATATCTGGAAAATAGTTGGATGGATATCCAATCAAAGTTTTGTAATCCTTACTATAAAGTACTCTATTATTGACGCAAAAATAAGGACTTTCTGAGAAGAATTCTTCTAAATAATAGCAGCGAATAAAAGCTCCAAGTGCAATTTCTTTACATGATTTTGGTATCGTAATGTTTTTAAGTTTTGTTAAGAAAAACATATGGGATGTAATAACTTCTAAGCTATCTGGAAAAACAATGTTAGCAATTTCTGATGAATGAAAATGACACACGCCGCTGAATGTTTTGATTTTTATTTCAGAAAAGTTAGCAAACACGCAAGAGGAACTTGCAAAAGCATAAGTCCCGATTTGTATTACATTCTTGGGACATATAAATTCGGATATTTTGGATAGGCAAAATGCATAAGAACCGATGAATTGAATGGTATCAGGCAGTTTAATATTGGTGATGTTACATTTAAAGAATGCATAATTACCAATAGATATTACTTTTTTAGAATTAACATTAGATGGAATTTCAAAAGTTCCTTTAAGATCTGAAATACATGGATTCTCCCCGTCTCCAACCTGTATAGAGTCTGTATCATAATCAACATATTTAAACTGGGGACTCTCAATTTGACTCATGAAAAACTTTACACTCTTATATCATTTTGACAAAATGTATCAATTTTTTTTGTTATTAAATGGTTTTCGATGCTGAATATAATTTACAAGTTTTTAATAATTATTATTAATTAAATTTCAACCATATTAATTTTGAATTAAAAATGTACGTTTGATAAAAACAACAACATCAAATGTACATTAGACACAATAGTTATAGATCCCTAATTAATACCAACGGAAATTGAAGAAATAATTATTAATGACCAAATTGATAAATTTAAAGAATATATAACTCATAATTCTGTAGATGATACTGATGTACGTGTTCCCTACTGGACGATTACACCTCTTATTGCTTCTGCGTATTTTGGATCAGTCAATATTTTTAACTTTCATCATATTTGTTTATATCAAGAAATTTCATCATTCTTCACGATTTATTCAATTATTGGAGGAAATATTGATATTATTAATGAATGTACAAAGAATCAAGCAGTTGATATTAATGATCTTCCTGAGATAATTAAATCATATGGCAATAAATACTTTGATTATATTTTTGATCATAACCTTTTTGATGTTAATGGCTTTCTTTTAGATGATGTCATTGAGTCTATATGTAAATCGTTAAACATGAAAGAAGTCTTAAATTTGTTCGAAAAAGATGAAGGTTCGATTGTTCCATAATGTAGAGTGTTTCCAATTATAGAACTTCTCAAGAATGAAAATGTTGATCTTTATAAGATTGATAAAATGAGTCGAAATCTTCTTCATTATTCAGCAATGTCTAATAACATTGATGTATGTGAGTTTTTATTAAGTTCTACCAAAATACACATCAATGCACAAGAAATTACCGATACGACAGCTCTTCATTTTGCAGCAATATATAATCCCAAGGAAATATTAGAGATATTACTTGAGGTTGATGTAAATATAAATGCAGTTAGTATACATATCATGTGTACGGAGGTACTGCGCACCTACTTACCCATTATATGTGAATTTGACACTTTACAAAACCATTAACGTATATTTTACAACACAAACGACAACACTAACTTAACCTTAAATATTTATAAAGCCACCAACCACTTCACCTCAATAACGTTTTCACAAACGACTTCACTACTGTAAAAAATAAACGTTCTCACTTACAAAAGTATTGCAACTCTTCCCATTGCTGTGCTTCACACAATAGTTCATATTCTTCAGTATCGCTGCTGTCGCTCCAATCGTCAGAGTCAAAGTCACTGTCAAAATAAATGTTAGTAAGTTTTGACAAAGCTAATGAAACACGTTTACCGTTTGTATCGTATGCTTGTATAAACTTTCCATTCTTCATTCCTTCATAAACGCTCAAACTAACTTTACCCTTTCTCCCTCGTATCTGATAGAATGTATTTTCACGAGGAACGAAGAACAAATTCTTGAACTCATGACCGTTGTAGTTTGTTATCTCAATAGTTTTCATCATTTATTTAAAAATAAAATAAAAAATAAACTTAAAAATTAATGATATCACCACCCTCACACGTATGAAAACATAGCACAAAAATAAATTTAGGTGAAGTGGTGAGATCTCACCTCTTTTTTCACCCTGTTGAATTCATTGCTTTATAACTCTCTTCCTTGGTTTCTTTTTAGTTGCTTTCTTCACGTCTGTCTCCAACTTGACTGTCTTTCTTCTTCGTCCATAATGATACCAGTTACTTCCACCAGTCAATGGGTCAAATGGTCGTTCATAAGGGTTTCCATACATTCCATAAGGACCATACGGAAAACTACTGGTGGAGAAGAAACATTTTCTTTAGTTCCATCGACTCTATTTAAATGCATTGTTTCACCTTTCATCTGGGCATTAAAGTCTTTTGCGTGTTTTGCAAACTCATCGTCCTTTCCTAAAGCATTTTCTGACTCAGTCGCAACCAAATTGGATGCTTTATTTATGAGCCCTATTTTATTTAATCTTAACTTCTTTGCAACCCAGCCTCCAATCTTCCCTTTATTTGCATCTAATGTCTTTGAAACCCTTCCTCCACTCATTTTATTTACTGCGTCATAAGCTCCAAGTGCTTTTGCTCCAAATGCTAATGCTTTTGTTCCCATTGCGCCTAAAGCTGCCCAAGCTACCATTTACCCATATTAAAATCATCTCTCTTCAATATTATCTCATAAAAGTTCTCGTTACTGGAGAAAGTCAATGAAACATAAGCGTTCTCACGGGCTTCGCCCCTCACTGCTTTGCGGTCTATCTAACTTATTTCTTAATCATCTATACGCTTCAAAATGTCTGAACAATTGCTAACATCTTCTACAACAGTTATTTCATCATGAATGACCTTCAAAAACAAGCTCATTTAATATGCTATTAAAATCATCTCATAATGAGTCCATCCTTTCCGTCTTTGGGTAGCACAACATCTTCATTGAAGAAGGTTCGACAAGTCTTATGTTAAACTTACTGACAAAGTTTGTTATACTATAATGCTTTGGCGGCGAATAATATGTAGTTTGAAAGACATAATATAGATTCTTCAGCAAATTCACTTATACTGGATTTTATAACAATGTTCTCACGAGACCAAATACCACCAATTGACAATCTTGTAAGCAATCCTGCTGAACCTTCTACTGTAAATCGTGATCGAGTAACATTCCACGAAGGTCATCTATTGACATCGTTGAGTCACTGTATTTAAATATTTTTCTTAAGCAATCGTCATTATCTAACCATGCAATAGTTTGAAGTTTTCATTCGAATATACATCTGCTTCATTAAATGTAAACCAACTTCTTTGCAGAGATGACTTTAAAATCTATTGAGTTTGTTTCAAATTATATGCTATGGTAACTTCTGAGGTAATGGATGTCCTTCCGCAGTCAGTGTTTCTCACTACCGTTTGAAGCTTTGTATTAAAAACTTTCATGTCATCTCCTGTATCTAAGTTCACAATACACAGCAACAGGGAAACTATCTTGCTTCTTTGTTTCATCATTATACCTCAAAAACATTAAAGTTCTTCAATAATATTGTTCTTCCTGCTGGAATACTTCGAACCTGTCTGATTTCAATAGCTTTCTCACCTCCTACATACTCTACCCAGTGTCTTGGATATTCATAGTATACTGACTTTCTTGAATTTTGGTTTAGGTTTCATCTAACATGTTCATAGTATATCTTTATACTCTTGTCAGTTAGACTCGGTGCTATGTTCTGAATATTTCTGACTTGCATTTTTAATGGAGATAAAATGAAGCATTTAATACATGACGTAGATGAAGACATGAATGAAACTACAGACAAACTTAACTCTTCCTTATTCTTCCTTTCAGCAAAGATTATGAGTTCTGTTTCAAATGGTGTTATTTCTATTGTGGAAAGATGGGTTCAGGTAAGACATTTAACCTCATTCGTCATATACTCATAACAGAACGTTTAGGAAATGACTCATATTATGACCAAATCATTATATCAGCAACTTCAGACTCTATGGACTCAACAGCGAAAACATTTATGTCAAAAGTTCAAGCCTCTGTCGTTAAAGTTCCAGACAGTGAACTCATTGAATTTCTTCAACGTTACATTCGACGTAAGAGGAAATATTATGCCATCGTTGAATTATATACAGTCAGGAATGCAAAAGACTTCTGAGGAGATGGAAAGAAATTATTGACAAACACCACTTACGTCAGTACTCAGGAGTTTACGATATGAAACGACTGACAAACTACATTCTATCAAAACTTTCAAAATACCCCTTCAAAAAATATCCTCAAACACTCTGCTCGTTTGCGACGACTTCGCCGGAAAAGGTTTAGTTTCAAAGCCTGACTCACCATTAGCTAACATCATAACTAAAGTCAGACATTACCATTTAACTGTAGCAATACTTATGCAACATGGAGGTTTTTTAGCTTTAAACATAAAACGTCTCATAACTGACTTCGTTATCTTTCAAGGTTTCTCACGCTATGACATTGAACTCATTTGGAAACAGTCAGGTATAACATTACCTTTTGAAGAAATTTGGGAAGCATATAAGTCTCTCATCTCTCCTCGTTCATACCTTGAGATTCATATCATGACTAATACCATTAAAGTCAAAAATATTCCATGGGAACGACCAACATTGTTTTAAAGTTTAACCTTCAATTGACTGATGGTAAACAAATTCCATGCATCTCTGTCGCCATTTCTGTTAATATTTTTGCTGTCATTCATATCATCCACTTCCCCATCCGTTAGCTTTTGAGGATATGCGTTAGAATAGCTGTTCTTAAATGAAGGCTTTTCACCTTTGAGAGCATAAACTCTATAACTTTCTGCATACTTTATGTTTGAACCTCCTGAGCCATCATTGACATAAATTTTTATAGGCTTCCACCCTTTGTTCATGTTCCTGCTTCTTCCCTTAGCTCTTTTGTTCAGTAGTTCTACATCTTTATACACAGCACCTGTCTCAGTGAATTCAACAATATTTTCATTCGTTAGCTTTACATTCAAAACCCTTGTCCGAGTATATTGTTCATTTCATACATATAAAAGGTTTTTATTCTATATGAAATGAGAAGCAAATCCATCTTAGCTGGTGCCGTTAATGTTCCAATTGAACCAACATCAAATGTTGACTCACGAACGACAAACAATATTGTCATAAAGAACTATAGTTCAGAGTGTTTGAAAGAACCAGAACCAGAGCTGAAATCCGGTGAATTTAAACACAGCTTCAAACGCTAACGCTACATCAGATGTTAAGTTAGAGTATCCACCACTGGACCAAATTCTTTCAAGAGAAGCCAACGACAACCCTTACACAAATGCTCAAACAAATCCTTCAGATAACGTAGACCATTACCTTCTTCAGTTATACCAAACAATTTTACTCAAAGACGATAAGAAGCTTTTGACAAATCTTATATAAGCAAGAACCAAATAATTCTAACAAAGGAGGACCTTGAAAATGTTATATCACGAATAACAGGGAAACAATGTGTCATTGACTATCTCGACCCTGAAATCGAATGCTGTGGTCAAACGCCACCATTCATGAAAATAGGTAACATCCGCATCATTGAAACACCAGGAACTACAGGAGTTTTAAGTATAAATATTCGAACGAGTATACAAAACTTTCAAACAGAATATAAACTTTTGTTTGAAATATGTTTTTAGTAAATTAAAGCAGTCAGGAGGGCTCTTTGAGGCCATCTTGGCGCTTTGCGCCGTCAGTCAAAAAAATTTCAAGTTAGCAATTTGTAATATCTATCCAAAACTTCTTCAACAGTATCGAACTCATCTTCATAATGCAAACCTAATCTTATTGACTTGGTGCAGTTTTCACTAACACAATATTTTTCTGTTCTCTTGACTGACATAACTAATTCATTTGTTTCATCAAACAGCAACAACCAAAGTTCATGACCTAATACATAACATTCATACTTTATATTTTTAGCTCTGAGTTCTCTTGTAAGCTGTTGCATTTAATATTTTCTAAAAAGTCAACTTCAACAGTCATTCGCACTGGTGCCTTCAGTTCTACAGGCTCTCCTTGAAAGTCAACAAGTCTGAATTGCATGTCTTTCAAATTATGAGGACTAATGCGAACCCATTTACCTAAATGAGTTGCTATGACAGGAACGTTTGGAATGAACATTGAATTGACTGCATAACAGAAGGATTTATATTCTACTGAACCTTTACTATTAACTCCTGAAATGCCTGTGACATTAGCTATTTTAGACTCAATGTACAAACAATTACCATAACATACGTATGGAACAGATTTCATCTCAATCGTTTTGTCAACACTTTTCAAAGGAAATGTCATATGGTATGCACCCAAAAGAAGTTGTACTCTATGACTCATTCTTGGTATCTTAAACTCCTTCGCATAACTGAACTTCAAAACTCCTGCAATAAGTTTAACATTCATTAAGTTTTCTTCGTTATCCTTGTTTATTGTAGTATTTATGAGAGCATTTAACACTCCAGCTAATGTTTCCATCTTATATTCTACATTATTGTGAAATCTTATTTCGTGCTTCTTTCCATCTATTTCAATCTCCATGAAATCTGTTTCATCTGTTATAACGAATGAAGCGATAGTATTGAAGTCAACCATTCTGAATGCAAGCGCCTCATTCTGTAGACCTAAGTTTGTTTGTAGCTTTACTGTCCCGTATTCGTTTGGGTCTGTACTTTGCAAATAGAACAACATTTTATTCTCATTAAAATATGAGTATAGCTGCATATGCGTATGAAGCTGACAGAGCTAAACGTTTATATTTTGGTCAATACTCTCTCACACTTACTGACAAATATATTGTTATCACTGATGGAAATACTGAGAAATACATAACATGGAAGGACTATGAAAAGTTTGACCCTATTTTAACTCCATGTACTATGCCGTTTATAAAGGACGGTGAAATTATTGAAAAAGATAATACAACCGTATATAGGTCTGTTTATGAAGCATTAGAATATATGTTGAATCATAACCCAAAAAGATTTGACCCAAGCACTACACCATGTGCAATGCCTTTTATTAAGGACGGTGAAATCGTAAGAGTTCCGGATTCAACGGTTTACACAGCTGTTCAAAACAGTTTACAAAACATTTTAGCGAATATCTTTAATTCAGAAACTACAGAAATAAAATTACCATATATAACAGATGCTAAAGAAATTAAATCAAAAACGACAACATTATTTACGTCACTTAATGATTTAATGACTTATATCATTAATATTCCTGCACCAACTACAGCATTTGATCCAAACTCGACGGTTTGCAGTGTACCTTTCATAAATGACAGTTCATTAATTACTTTAAGGGATTCGACAGTAAATGAATCATTAAAGGCGTCATTAATGAAAATCATTGATTTTAATTCATTCACGAATACATATAATTCATTCATTAATGTTTCATATGCTTCTAAAGAAGGTGAGCCAAAAACTATCGATAAAGCGGTGTATGAAATAAAAGCATCAACGACGAAATTGAATTCGTTAACTTTTGACGGTGATAGTTTCGTTAATGACATAACATCGGGGAAAACAATTTTAACGAAAGAATACTTAAAATCTCATGTTAGTGAGTTCGTTGAAATTGAAAAAGAAGGTGGAATTAAGTTCGATCCACTGAATTTCATTTTCAGCTTAGCGAATGCGGGTGTTAGTTTCGCTGAATGGACAACTATACAGAGTGAAATAAATGCAATATGGACGTTTTTGGGGTCAAAAGCGGGAATGGGTGAGCTTGTAAATGCTGCAAGAACATTAGGTGAAACAGGAAATTTTGTAGATGGTTTTAAAAGACTTGTTTCAAATGTTTTAACAAACACAAAGAAATTATTTAGATATACCGTACATAACGGACGGATTTTCGAACAGATAGCAACAAACCCTCCGGTTATGGCTGCGTTGATGATGGTTAGAGATATAAAACCACGTAACGACGGGAACGAAGAACATGAACAACAGGATACTGGTCGGGTTATTCGAGACATTAAAAACGTGTATCCTGAAGTTATTGATTTATTTAGAGGAGTTAATGATTCAATTTCAAAACATTCTATAACCCTCGATGAAGAGAATAAATTAACAGATTATATATTCGTCATTATTGCAGAATTAATGAAGAGAATAAATGAAAAAGGAATTGGTGATATCATTAATGTCAGCGATGTAATGATGAAAAGAAATTTTGACTCATTATTTACAAAACCGAAAACAGAATATAGTCTTTATGACGTAATTACCGAATTAATGAAAAAGATTAATGATAATAAGAGTTCTGGCGGAAGAGTTGAATTAGAAGTGAATGATGTTAATGAGAAATTAGCCGAAAAAGCAGACAAAAATGAGCTTTTAGCTCTGAGTGATAAAGTCAAGAACCACGTTCATTATATAACTTCAGACGAACAGATTATAACGGACTACCATGGATATTTAACACGAAGTGATGAAGCGAAGACAAAAAATGTTAATGAAAGAAGATATAAATACATTCGTGCTAAAGGTTATGACATAAGCTGTACTGTACAGTATGATGTAGCTAAAGCACCAGAAGCATTTGGTTATACCGGTGAAATTTATGCCTCTACTTTCAATGTTAACGGTGTATTAGTTGAACCAAGATTTACTTTGAGAGTTAAGGCAAAAATAACGTTTGAAGATGCTATTAAAAGTAAAGCTGACAAAGTTGAACTTGAAGCAATGAACAAAGTTTTGAAATCTCATAAACACAATATCTCTGATATAAATGAACTTCAAGCTACATTAAATAGTAAAGCTGACAAGAACCATACACATAAATCCTTCACTACTGTTAGAGCAGACGACATAATATTGAACTATACCCTTGGTTCAAGTGCACCTTTAGAGAATCCGAGTACAAGCGTAAAAGATACACTAAACAATTTAGATAACAGATGTATGAACATTGAAGGTCATGCCAGAAACTTTGAAGCATATGAACTACCAGCAATGTTAGATAAGAAAGCCGACAAAACTTATGTAGATGAAAATTATGCAAAGAAGTCGGAAGTAAATGCTGCGCTTAATGGAAAAGCCGACAAGAACCATACACATGAAGAATTTCAAACAATCAAGATTAAAGAAATTAAAGCATGCATCGAAATAGTAACAAAAACAGGAAGAAACGGTGCAACTGTACAAGAACAAAGAATTTATCCTCCTACTTTTCCTAATGGTTTAATAACAAACAATATAAATATTGTAGAAGGCAATAAAGCTATAAACGTTAAACATGAACTTCTAACAATGAAGGCCCAGATTCTTCAAACATTATATCCCGTTGGTTCTATTTATACGTCAATGAATTCAACAAATCCAGAAACAGTTTTAGGTTTTGGTACGTGGGAACAGATTGTAGACAAATTCTTATACTGTGCTAACTCTTCAAAGCAAACAGGGGGTTCGAAGAAAATTAAAGAAGCAAACCTTCCACCGCACACTCATACAGGAACTACAAACTTTTCTGGCGACCATAGCCACTCATTAAGAGACCACCCATTATACAACTCAGAGTATGAAGCTGGCCATGACGTTTTATCTCCATCTTATAACAATTCAGCAAAAAAGATTTTTCGACCAACTGAACCAGGAGGAAATCATTCACACACTTTCACAACAAATCCAACAGGCTCGGGTGAAGATTATATGCCGCCTTATATGACAGTTTATGCATGGGTTAGAACGGACTGAAAGTCCTGAGCTCCAAAAGAGCGAACAGCATGAAATTTACTAAATTTAACTTTACATAAATGAGCTTGAAAGAAGTATTCGAACAACATCCATGGAGGTCATTTAAGAAGTTCAATGAAGCTGCAAAGAGTTGGGGATTTACTAACAGAGCTGAAGTGAAAAGGTTCTTTGACAAAAATGTTGTACATCAAACAAAAATAAACCCTTACGACTACTTTTTACCAATTTACTCCAACGCTCCTGACGCATACCAATTTGACACTCTCATTCAAAGCAGAAAAGGAGGACATAAACCATTCCTCATCTTCATTAATGTTAACACTCGTAAAGCATATGCATATTCAATGAAAAATAAAGGAACTCATGAAGTGTTAAGAGTTTTACAAAAGTTTGTAGCAGAACATAGCCCAAGTACTTTAACATCAGACCAAGACAGTGCATACCTCAGCAATGAAATCACAGATTTTCTCATTAAGCATAACATAACTCACTACACTACTGAAGACCATAACCATAACATACTCGGCATCATAAACCGCTTCATAAGAACGCTCAGAGATTTAAACCAAGAGCGAGACTTTACCGAAGAAACAATGAAACATTTTCTCGAAGTATATAATTCCTCAACACATTCTACAAACAGGGCATACACCAAATTCAATGACACAACAACAAGAAGAAAAGTATATACAAAAGAAACGAAGCCAAACACAAAATATCAGAAATTCAACACAATTTACCCTCATTCCTGGTACAAAAGTTCGTGTAGTTCTTGACGACAAGCCGTTGACAAAGAAACGTTTAAGGTTAAGTAGAAACTATTATATCGTAGACTCTACGCAAGGTAATGGATATCTTATAAAAGCTGCTGACGACTCTATTGCGTTTTACCCTCGACATAAATTAGTCGAAAGTAGTAATGGCAAACTTGCTGAAACCATTGACGAAGCAAAGCGAGGAGTGGTTATTGAAATACTTGGCTACAACATAAACGATGACACTTATAAAGTAAGATATGAAGGAGGCGTTGAAGATGTTATACCATCTAAGAACTTGAGAGAGTCAAAGCCAACACATCTGGGACCATTAGAGCGGGAGTACTGGAAAGACAAAAATATGCCAGAAAGAATAAGAAAATTCTTCTAAACTTTTTCATTAGATGTAAATCAGACATGAATGAGAACAGTCATGATATCATTAATGGTACCATTTATTTTAACATAAAGACGCAAAGCGGCGAGGACGAAGTCCATGACCAAAAATAATGTTTAGGGTAGATGGTTAGATCTAACCTCATTTCTACCCTCTTGAATTTTCATGAATTTTATATATTAATGTTTTCATAAATACTGAGGGTGTCACTACGTCACCATGTGTCACTCGGTTAATTAACTTCTCTGAAAAAATGAGACAACATGACATTTTGACAACATCACTGGAAATATATTTTATCGTTAATGTTTACATTAATGGTTTCAGGTTATTCAATAATTAATTATTTTTGAAGAACTGAGGGTGTCACTACGTCACCATGTGTCACTCGGTTAATTAACTTCTCTGAAAAAATGAGACAACATGACATTTTGACAACATCACTGGAAATATGATGCAGTCCAAAAATAAAGTTAGTTTTAAAATTATTTTTATTTTTTATTCCTATATAAATGACGGCAACAAACAACAACAGCAACTATATCGTTTCTGATGAAAAAGTTATTGATTCATTAGCTGAGGAATTAGTTGTGGCAGAAACTAAAACCCTCAACGAAAGAATTGGTGAAAACAAGATTGATTTACATAACTACCTCAAACATGATGGAGGAAGAGGAAGGAAAACTGGTATGGCTTTATTAGTAAATAAAATTTCAAATTTAACGATTATAGATGTTGATATCAATAAATCGTACAATGATGAACTTAAAGAAACAGTTAGAAAAGATATTTTATCAAAACTTCCGGATAAAGATGTTATCGTTAAAACCGCTTCAGGAGGTCTTCACATTTATTGCAACACTAATTTCTTCTATGCAGTTTCGAACAGAATGATTAAATGTTATTCCTGCAATGATTATGATATTGATATAATGACTTCTATGGATGATTCAAAGCGTTCTTTAGTAGTTATGGCTGTTTCAAGAGTTCGCAAGAATGCATCAGAACCAATCAATACATACTCATTCATTCGTGGAAGTTATGATTCAACATTAACTAGAACAGTGAATGA